ACACCCAAAATCTGCTATACAGATAAAATCATGCATTAATATTATAGTTATTATTGTGCAAAATATTTTTAATACTTTTAAGGATTTTAAATTCTGAGCGCTACAAGGAATTGTTCGATTTTAATATGATGTGTGTATTTTTGAAAATCTATTAGTGTGTCTGTAAACAACTTTTAAACCAGAAATCTTGTTCCGATTTTCAAGTGTAGCATTTTTTCTGAAAGTAAACTATACCTAGTTAGTGTTTCGGATAGACTGGATAGATTCTCCTTGTAGTTTTCATAGTAAGTAATGCATGTATTTTAGTTTTTTTTTTTTATGTAGTTACGAGTTTTAGATTCAAAATTTAATGGAAATCGTAAAAATCACGTAATTTTACGTACTTTTTTCAATATATCTATAATTAATATGCTATTATGCTATACCAATATAATTTTCTGGCCAAACCAAAATGTTTGAAAGTTTAATACGAGGTTCATTATGAGTTGTATAAGTGATCAAACTGGAAAAAAAAATTGAGCGTCATATTTGTAGATTTTTTCGTTGTAAAAGGGTTTTAAGTTCAATTTTAAATAATTGTACATAGAATAGTTCACGTACCTACTATTTTCCGATTTATGGAAAAAAAAAATGTTTGACTCCATAAAATAGCTCTAAATTTGGAAAAAATACAAACTATAGTAATCTATTTTGTATTTATACCTAATAAACTTGTACAATTTTTAATTTAAGTTTATCAAAACATTTTTACCCATCAATTTATGTAGTGCCGAGTATCTATATACTCGTATTGAAGTATGTCTTGCTCATAGACACCCAAAAGAAGGGCCCTTTTCATTTTCTCATCATTAAGTATATATAATATATGTATACACAGGGTGATATATCTATCACTCATTATATCGGAAAGTACTTACTTTTTTCTGGATCTGTTTTATAGAACACTTAAGAAACAATCAGCTCTACAATTTTACATTTATGTTAATTTTTTCACCCTTAATTTTGGGGGAAAAACCACTACCTAATTTTGATTTTTCAAATGGCAACCTTTATTAAACATTCCATAAACAGAAGGGATATTAGTTAAAATAAATTTTGGTGTTAAATTGTTTGATTTTTGTCAATCCGTTGAAATAATGTTCCACTTTTAAGTTTTGGCAGGGGGAAAGTAGTGGAGCATCATTTTTGTTGCAGCACGTTGCGTGGCGTTTTAATAATGCACCACTACCTACTCTCCTCCGACCCAAACTTAAAAGTGGAATATTATTCCGTCAACGGATTGACGGAAATCAAAAATTTCAACACCAAAAGGTATTTTAACTAATACTCCATCTGTTTCTGGAATTCAAAATTCAAAAAATCAAAATTAGATAGTGGTTTTACCCCCAAAATTAAGGGTGAAAAAGTAATATAAATGTAAAATTGTAAAGCTGATTGTTTCTTAAATGTTCTATGAAACAGATCCAGAAAAAAGTGAATACCTTCCGAGATAATAAGTGTCTTACGACAGATTAAATACTCTGTATATATGTTTATTATGAATGATTCCTTGGTCAGAGCTATGCATTCCTTAAATGACAATAGTGTTGATATTTGGTCTTAATAATTTTATTTAATTATACCAATTGTTACTTCATTGTTATAATATTATTATAAATTATAAATTATTGTTTATAATTTATTGTTTTGTACCATTTTCAAAAGATGATTGGTGTTTATATTATTATACAAAATAAATAAAAATAATTTAAAAGTAACATGTAAACGAAAATCGAAACAGTTGTTGGGAATTTCAGAAAGTGTATGAGAATAATTAATAAATACTAAAATACCTAACAATATAACACCACCGAATCTTTAAAGATCCTTGTGTATCTAAATTGGTTTTCGAGTTGTTTCAAAAGGTAGAGTAAGAATATCCAAAATGGTTCCCAGATTATTCTAAAATCAATTTTAATTTTTCTTCACATTTTATACAGACTTCGACATGTTTACGTGTTATCATTTACAATATATAAATCAATGTAATATATAATATAATAAATGATATCACGCAAATTCAAAAACTTCTTAACATACGTACACTATACGGTTAATGGTGATTTACTGAATACAGTACCTATAACAAGTATAACGACAATATTTATCGCATTATCCCTTTCACGATGAGCGTTAATTTTTGTTTCATTATGTTTTAAACTAGCACACACTATAATGTAACAACTATTATTTCATAATTTATTAAACATATTAAATTAAATTAAATACTAACAATAATATTTAATACCATTCATATTATAGTGTAACTTTAACTATATGACACTATAGTTAAATATTAATAATGACACAATTTAAAAGAAAAAAAGAAAAATTAAAGTATTACATTATTTTTTTATTAATTTGAATATAATTGGTTATACTGTATAGTGTATACATTTATTATTTAATATTAAAACGTTTTTAATTGATATTGTGTCTAGTAATATATTAATATAAAATTAAAATTTTAAAAACAAATGTCAAATTATAATACACAAAAATACAATGGTAATAATCAAATAAACTAAATCTCTATACGTATAAAATTCTCGTGTCACGTGTTTGTGGTCGCACTCCTCCGAAACGGCATGACCGATTGTAATGAAATTTTTTTGTATATTTGGTAGGTATGAGAAAAGCTATTAAAATATTTTTCACCCTTCTAACCCCATCCACTATTTTTTAATCACGATTTTAGCATTTTCGCTTATATATATACACGAACAACAACAAATAATTTAACTTATAATATAATAAATATAATTTTTTTTGTTGATTTATGTTACCCCGATAACAAGGATGAAAAAAAATATTATTCTAACCTTCAGTTTGATTATTTGTATTGGCTAAAGTCAAATCATGGATATTCCATATTTCCATTGATCAAGTGGAAATAGAGGTAGGCAATTTCTAAAACGTAGATTGATCTCTCCTAGAACACATATATGTTTATAAGATCCATTTACATAAATTTTGTAAAAGTAGTTAACTAAATCATTAACATGATTTAGCATTATACTATTTAAATGAGTCATGCCATCTTTAACCATTATCTAAAGGTAAAAATGCCTACCCATCCAGTTTCTACAAAACTTACTAAAACTTTCATCTTTCATCATATTGGTTTTAGGCCAAGTTTTTTAATCATCCTGTATGTACTTTGTGTAAGATGGTAAAAACAACCATTAATACACACATGGTCTCCTAACACAGATTTTACTGTGTTAATTACAGATTTTTCGAAATAGATATGAAAGCTTGTTGGATCTGAATATAATTGTCGTTAAGAACATTTTTCGAGAACTTTGGCCAGATTTCCTATGTTTTCTGACTTTTACATTTTAACAACCAATATTTGGAGGTTAAAAATGTTTTTTGAATTTTAACTCTAACCACATACAGTTGGAGGAATTCTTTTGAGGCCAATCTAAAATTCTCAATCAAACTGAATTATTGGATAGATGTTGAAGACCTTCATCTGTTGCAAAAACGGTTTTCTACAATCACACCGTCATCGACCAGTAAAAATCTTGTACTGTACTTGTATGAGACACATGTACACCATTCTTCTAAAAAAAATTGTATTTTATTTTTTTAATTTCCATTTTTATTTTCATATTTTTTTATTGATATTTACCCATAATTTCATAAGAGTCTGAGGGGTTATTTTTGTCCTTTGGTTTCATAGTGTACGCTTGACTATGTTTTCAGTTGGTATCTGACTTTCGTTATCTAATTTTGCAACACGTTCTCCGTGTACTGGATTAATTTTTGAGGTTTTTGCTTGAATTTTCATCTCATTATTATACTTGATAACCTTAACCTCGTTCTAGTTCTGCCTACAACGAGTTCCAATTTTCACTATATTTGATTTTTGAATATTTGTGTAAATTATTCCTAGACAATGATCAATGTCCTTACACAATTTAAGCATGGTTGCTTTACTACAAAGCCACATATTTCACCGGTATGTTTTAGAACGTACATATAACTCTCAAAACATAATTTATTATTATTTTTATTGGAATTGATTATTTCCATTGTATGTACAATTAATTAAAACATTGAAAAAATACAAATCCAACTTTGGAGATAGACGTATGAGACTGAAAGTAGTTTATAATACAATTCTATCTCAACCCAAGAAAGGATTTAAAGAAATATCACTCAGTAGAATGCTAGAATTGTAGATAATACTAACATATTATATTGAAATAAATTTATTTATGTATAATACCTATATAATATATATTATAAACATGTGTAATGTACTAATGTGTATACTTTGTACAAGGTGATTATTATATTAAAAATATTGTTCTAAATTGTTTTTGTTTACCCTAACGCTATTCCCCGAACAATCATTAATTTTCCCACCAGAAAAGTTACTGAAGTTTAAAATTAGTTGAATAAAGTTTTTAGTAAAAATAAAAATAAAAAAATACACATTATACAATCAATACTAATCAATATTAAAAAATAAGGCATCAATAAGCAATAATAATAATACATTCATTATTATAAAAGTATAAAATGCTATTACTATTATTATAGAATTAACAATATAATTTACAGCACTTAATATAACTAATTATAATATGATAAATAAGTTGCCTTTTTTTTTCATGGTTTTTCATCATTTTTTCTGTGGCTTTTTTTCCTACATTTTATCTGGCACTGGTTCAGAACCAATTTTTCTACCTGGAGTGATATTATTGATTACCAATACATAATATTATGTATTATATTGATTGTGAAGAACTCTAATTAATTATATTGTTTCCTAATTCCACATACCTACGACATAATCATCTAATACGGCTACTGATATCAGTCAACAAAATGTATCGGTGAAAATAAATAATTTTAGTTTTCGTGACGGTGGATCGACAAACGTGGGTATGTTATAATAATTTATAATACATGCGTTCAATTGCTGCACGTGCAGTTCAACGCACGTTGCGTTAGTGTAGTCGGCAAACGCGAACGGAGTGATGGTAAATTGTGTCGTACTGTTATTGTGTTGGTGGTGTACAACTGAATGTGGAAAACTGAAACTCGTGGTCCTATCAGTCAGACTTTAGACGTTACCTTGCGAACGTCGTTTTGCGTTGTGTGTTGTAGTTCAGTCGCGGCTTTTAAAATATTTTTAAACACTGAAACAATTTTCATTACGAGTTGTACCTGTAGCAGTATTGTAGGGACGATTTTTCAGTACCTATTGATTCGGGATCATAATGTTCTGTTTTTGAAAACAATATTCTGCAAGTGAATCGCATTTAATAAGGTAAAATTTAAAATTGTTTATAAATGTATTACCCATGTATTTTTTTTCATAGGTACCATAATAATTAGGTACCTACAATGTGCTACCGAATGTGCTTGTCGATTTTAAACAAAATAATAATCAGGGCTTGGATATTATAGAATTTCTTATTTATTATAGAATACAAATAAAAATAGAGTGAGCTTTAATATTTGTTTTATGCACCATGAACTCCAAATGTAAAATTTTATATTACTATTTTTTGTATATTTTAAGTATTTTAGATTTTTTGTGTTATTTTTCATTAGTATGCATAATATAATGACTAATGAGTTATTTCGTATTTTTCATAAATATTAGACAAAATTTCTCATTTATGTGAATCCATATGAAAAATACCTATATTTTGGTTTCATTATTCTAATCTATTTTTAAGTAGTCCGACGTATTGACCCATCGAACAGTCTAAATGTATGAACTTTTATTGGCTGTATTTATATATCCATTTAAAAAATACATTTTATTTTTTGTCTTTTTTTAAGTATTATTATAGCGCATATTTCAGTTATTTTCAGTGGCATAAAATCCGAGCCCTGATAATAAGTTATACGATTCGAATGATTCTCATTGGATTCGTTGAGAGGTATTTTTTTTTTTCATGTATATTCATCATTTGATTATATAATAATTGGGAAAATCTATTGCAATTTTAAACGATAGATAGTAAAGTAAATAAATTCACTTATATGTTGTATAGTGTTGAAAATATATCTACGAGATCAGCTATTATTGATATTATTAATATTTGAATGATGAAAAATATTTTTGTTCGTATGTGATTATAATAATATTGTTATAATATTGTAAATAGGGACTATTAGGTAGATATGGTGACTATTGTTCTAAAAACAATGGCGGGTAGTCTTCAAAATTAAAATGTAATTTTTTCAATTTTCCAAACACTGAATTAGGAAAAAATACTTATTATCAGTGGGTACCAACTTTTTTATGTAGTTATACCACCCGATTTCAATTAACCTACCAATAAAATTATTTTGAGTATTATTTAATATTTACAATAGGTACAAAAAATATAAATAAACAAGTAGTTGTTTACATCATGCGCACCAATAGAATGAATATAAACAAATTTACAGTTATCTATAAAACGCAAATAATTTGTTAAATTGCATAATATAATATATTATGATATAGTATAATGATTATACTATACATTAATGTGTATATGATAATTCTTCAAGATAAACTTGTTTTTACAAAAAAAAAACCTTAAATATTTAGGTTCATATAGGAAAAAACCAGAAAAGTCACTTTTTTGTCTAAAATAGCGATATTAGTATCAAGCAGTTTGTATAGATGTACTGTATATTTTGTGCGATCAAACCGGTGAAAAAACCAGACAAGTTAAAAGTAATGAGCGCCAGAAGTTTATGCATACAGGAAAAAACAGTTAAGTCAACTTATAACCAGACAAGTGTTGGGTTAATACACGACTATAACCGTGGTTAATAATATAATATGACATTATTGTGTTGTGTTTACTACATTTCAAAGTTAAATATTTAATTTAATCTGAAATTTTTACTTTGTAAAAAAAATTGTTACGCTTTGAAATTAAAAACATGTTTTTTCTCAGATTGGAAAAAAGTGATTTCTGGTGTTTTCCCTGTACCCTTCATTTTCATATTTTAAAATTTACTAATTATTTTTTTAACAAACATAATATGTATTACGTATTCTAGTTATGAGCTTTATTGAATTAAGAACTTTTAATAATATAGTTATTCTATTACAAATGGTTAATACTTAGGTCATTATTATTGAGATAAATTATGAAGTTATGCATGTTATATACTATACCTATACTGCATGAAAATGTATATACTTACCTATTTATTGTACTTATGTATAATATAGGTGTACTCACCTATATGTTTGTTATTCAATAATATATTTTTTTTAAATAAATAGAGTTTGTACTTTTTGATATTTGTCCAATTGGCAACATAACAAAATAATATAATATATATTTTATATGAAAAATATTATATTAAACACTACGGTTTTTTTTCTCTTATCTTGAAGTCAATATAAATGTTTAGTATGTATACGATGTATAGTGTATAATGTAAACGTTACCAACACACTATAAAAAAAACTTCCTGTCCGCAACATTCGAATGAACATAACCGTTCAATATTAGGTATTATCTGTAGACTACCGAAATAATATTATAATATAGCTGTGTTATTCCAACACAAATGCACATAAACGGGATCAAAACACATATTATTTGAATAGACCTGTAGGTTTGTATATCTAGTATAATATATTATTGTAATATGATTTCACTAGTTTCATAGTTATATACGTATTTTAATTATTTTGTTAAGAAACTCATATATTTGTAATGTTCTATCAAATACCTATATTACACGTCCGATTTGGAGATCTAAACCTATATATTAAAGGTAGGTAATAATATTTAAATGATTTGCCTTCAAATTCGTGTTACTAAGAAAATAATAATATCATATATTTATATTATTATGTCTTTTTAGACCATCATCGTTAATGACTACGTCATCTTATACTCTTAGCGTAGGTTCACGTGAGAATATTTTCGGTATATAGCTACTGTTTTAAAAATAGGCTATGCACCAACCATCACACACATGCTCCCACAAAGCAGCAAGATCCCGTTTTATCATTTACTGGAGAGAAAAAAAACATCATGTAATAATTGGATGTTGGGAATATGCAACCATGCGTGAATACGAACATGCTGATAGTTGTAGTGATAAATAATAAGAACGGAATAATATAATATTTTCTTTCATTTTTATACCTAGAGTGTATATTTTATCTATTTGAAGTTGTTGTACCTACATTTATCTGTTATATAAAACACGCTTATGGCCTAATAAATAGTTAAAGAATTAATTTAATGAACACGTATTTTCAAATAATGATAACACGACTTTTACTTTTAATCATCTATTTAATTTCTAAAATACACGCGATATGAAACTTACAACAGGCATTTATTCGTTTTTGAAGTATTATTTTATACAGTTTCTATTAAATTAACAGTGTTTAGACTAGAAATTAAGTAATAGATATTATCTAAAATATATTTTGAAAATTTAACATTTGTATAGGTTCTTATTTAGTTACCTGGTTAATAACTCGGTGTCGGTTATTTATTTATTAAATAGATAAGATGACCAAATAATAATACAATGCTAATAAAATAGATAATTAGTTATTTTATTTTCGCAAAATATATAATATATTTAATGATTTTAATCACGGACTTAGTCACTTGTTAACTGGGTAGATAGGTACTAGGTACTTTGTCGAAATTCGTTCGCGGGATACTTCAATTTTTTATATCAAGTCATATTTATACTTATATACGTATACCATTTTCGAACAGTTTATATTATCTACTCAATAAAATCCACTATTCTCATTCAACTTATGTAAAATGTGTAAACTGTGAGAATTAATTTAAAATGTAAAAAAAAAGTAATTCTAATTACCTATTTTCAAAATTGCATAACTAGGTTCCACTATCATAATATAATGTGATGCCTAATGAGCTATTAGTAGGTCGTTAATAGCTATTAAACAATAGTCATATTTACTTTCTCAAAATCTAGAATTTTTGGTAAATCGTATAAATAAATAAAACTATATTATATTATTTTATAATATTCATTTAAAAGCAATATCCGCTATAGAGGTGAAAAAAAAATCACTTACCTACAACTTATAACGAACAATTTTAAACAAAAATTACGATTTTTTAAAGTTTTAGGATATTCATATTAGAGTTTAATGGATATACTTACATACTTAGACAAAATATGTCACGTAATTAATGGCCATACTAATGGTACCATATCAATCATTCAATATACACAGTATACTGAATAGACAACTCTCGTTGCATCGTTTCTTTACAATGCCTCGTATTTTTGCTAACGCCCATTACATTTTATAAAATCCTTGAACATGATCTTATAATAATTGGAATCTGTTTTATTGTTCTGAAGTGCACGTGGTGTCTGTTTTCGAGTCGTATTAACGACTTCTGCTGTATCGCTGTCCAAACAAGTGCCTGTTTATAGGAAATTCCATAATCGGAACAAAAGACATTGATTTCGCGCGCAAAATAAATCAATAATAAAACGGATATATTATTATTCGGATGCATTTGTCTTGATCATTACAGGAAACGAAGTTTCAAAAAGAGTTTCACTTGTAATTTTTTTTTTACATTCTGACCTGAAAAATTTATTAAAAAATCAATTGGTTTGACAATGTTCACGAGTCGTTACGGTACGTTGGCCTTTCAGAGCTATAGTTAGCGTTTGAGTAATTTAACAATCGTTCTCTACGGTATAATGACATACTACACGTAATTTAATGTAAGTTTAGTTTAAATAAATGTATTTATTATTATTTTAAGTTGTCTTTTAAATGTCCCTAAATTTGCGTTTTGGTTTCATAATTGCTCAAAACCCAACGAATCGCTTTGTTAAGGAAATCTACAATATTTATTACAAAAATATTTAAATTTTCCCAGAAGATTTGTCGATTATTTGGTGAACAGTCACTTTTTTCTCTCGTGTTTTCGCGTCTTTTTTTCTGTGTACTTTTTTCTATGACTACGAACGATTTTACCTTATACTATATTTATTCTTATCCCGATTAATACGAAAACAAACGAAATTAAGTCATTTAAATATGTATGAGATGAACCGATAAACTATTAAAATTTTCCAAAAAATTAAAAATAAATATTGATGTATAGATTAAATTTAAAAACAAAAATATTTTGAAAATATTTTACTTAAAGATAATGTTAATTTGAAGAATTTGGGAAAAGCCACTCTTACTATGAGGTTCTTGATACTGTGAATAAAGATTTAAATAATAGTTTTCAAGTGAAAGTGTATTTGTAGCAATTACTACTGATCATTTTTTTTTAAATTAAATACCATTAATTCTGACTCTTTTATTTATTATTAACGAAAATAACTTAAAATTGCTTCTAAATTATTAAAAAATAGTAATGATGATACCAAAAAATTGTTTATCAAAAGAAATATGGAAACTTGATAAACTAATAAAATTTACAAATAATTAATCAGTGTTATCAAATTTGATAATTTTATCAAAATTAGCATTAATACTCTCTGTTACCATAGTTACTTGTGAAAGATCCTTTTCTGTCATTCAAAGGATTAAAACATAGTTTAGATCATCTATAGAATGGCGTCTATTGGAAAAATACTTGACGAATTTGCTAAAAATTTAAAAAAATATGATTATGAATAACATTTTATTATAATTACTCTGTGAGTTTAATATTTAGTATTTAATGCACTGACTGTATTTAAATAAAAAAATTATATTGTTTTATGTTATCATTCTTCTTAATAATTTATTTAGTTTAGTTAACCTCCCTGAACATAGCTTTGTATTACAGATTTTCGTTAAATGCTTAATTGGAAAATAAGGAATGCCAAAAAAAAAAAAAAATAAGTAAATTGACATATTATAAGTTTCAAATCAAAAAAAGGCGGTGAATAGTTGGCAGAAAAATGAATAGCGATGAAACGATCATGGAAAAATGAACTAGATAAATGTTTTAAAATTCCGTGGTTTTTATGATTTCTATTAAAATTTAAACTTAGAATGATAATTGAAAAAAAATTATGTTTGCCACTAAGTACAACTTATAATAAACTTTGTGTTAATTCTGTAAGCAAAAAAAAATTGTTTGTGAAAATGTCCGGTAAAAGTTTCAGGTAGGCCTCTACGATTACTTTTAATTGAATTACAACAAAAAACAAAATCGAAAATAATAATAAGGCAATACTTTAAATTTTCATATTTTTCTTCATTTCGTCTCTGATTTTTCCTAACTATAAAGAAAACTACAACGGAAAACAAAAAAATCTCCTCCAAAATTTAACATCTAGTCAAAATTTTCTTTCAGAAAAGATGCTATACTTGAATATCGGAGCAAGATATCTGGTAGAAAAGTTGTTTACAAAAAACACACCATAATAAAACTAATACGCGCTAAAACAGAAAAAAATACAATTTTCAAAATATTGATATATTTACTATAAAATACCAATCTTCGTAATTTTGTTTAGTAATTTTTGCCTGACCTTGTTAAAAAAAAAAAAGAGTATTTACTCTAGTTAAATTTTTGTTTTTTTTTGTTTTATCACTTTTATATATTATACCGTTATAGCATATCTACTATTATATATGCTTTCTACGTAAATTTCGTTACGATTGTCTTCAACCGGTTCCACGTTGTGTAATTGGCTCAAAAATAACACTATGCTGGGCACTGTGTCATTACTCTTTAATAACACATTTCGCACGAATCAAGAAAATATAAAGTACAGTTGGCCGGTAAAACGATGTTTTTATAATTTAGTGTGTCAAGTGCCTCATGCCGGATGTTGTAGGAATTTGAATAAAAAAAATTAAAAAACTACCGTATTGGTTCCAGAAGGATATAAAACGTGAGATATTGACATATTTAATGGAAAATATTAATATAATATTATTTTCTAATCGATTCGTAATATTTTATTATCTGTGTATAACTTATATAATATTATGACGTCGGTGTTTCCCAATGAAAACAAAGATATTTGAATAGTAATAATTTTTTATTTTTGTAATATGTATATACCTGTCTGTCTTTAACCAAATCAAATATGTTGATGGGTATTTCTGAAAATGAACATTCAGGCCATTCAGCAATATGAGAAAATAATATTTTACTAGCTATTTAAATTTATTATTATAATGAACTACAAATTTTTATGTGATGATTAAACATTTTCTTTTCCCGGCGGCGCAATCAATATTATAAATCTTTTTGAGACTGTTGACATACGTATTATATCCTTCTTAAGTGACAAAATATTTTCCCAAAAATACAAAATTTCAAATAGTAGGTATGTAATACCTATATAATTACCTGTATGTTGTATAATGTTTAAAAACTAAACATTTAAAATGACAATTTTATTATTATAATATACTAGCTGTCCCGCGTCCGGCGTTGCTCGTGCTATTTTTTTTATCTTTATATCTGTATTGCTTTGTCCGTATCAGTATATTGAACTAAAAAAATAGGTGGAAATTGGGTAGTCTGTGAACTAAAAGTATTCTAGTGTATCATACATTTTTTCATTCGTGTTACCATAGATTCCTTAAAAACGGGAAATAAACTATATATCCACTATAATAACCCTAAAATTATGAGCATAATAGTACTGAAATGTTGTTACTGTACCAAAAAATACAAAGATTTAGAGATGACGTTTTACGTGTTTTCACTTAACCTGTACGACGCATAGATTTTTGTTTTTTTTTATCCATGTTATCAAGGTAGCCCATCTCATTTCAAGCCAATACTAGGCCGGCAGTGTCAGATACTCTTTATTTTAAATTGTTATAGTTGTTATGACATTTTTATTTTTTATTTAATTTGTTTTCATTTCATCCGTGTTACTATGGTAATCCATAATTCAACAAAAATAATTCAATTTTCCTACCAAAAATATATTTCATCTCTTATTTCATCCTCTTCAAGTTTTATTTTCATGACAAAAAGTAGCCTGTTTTCTCCAAGGTTTTCTCATCTATCTCTATACTAAAATGCATCAAAATCCGTTCAATAGTTTTTGCATGAAAGAGTAACAGACATCCATGCATCCTCACAAACTTTCACGTTTATAAATAATATATTAAATTAAATAATAATATAATATATTAATATTATTATAGAACCATATTATTATTATCCTAAATTCAAATATATATTGAAACATATAGGTATTAAATAAAATATTTGTTTAGGGTACCATACTGAAGGCATGCAATGTAATTAAACTGTAATTATATACTACAATTTGGTATAATTTATATTTAAGTATTTAATAACAAATAAATTTTACTCATTTTAAAATATTAGTCATTGATCATTAGTCATAAGCCCTTAACCCGAACAATATATTATATACACGTGTCTCTCGTTGATTTCCGGTATATAATAATGTACTTATGAAGAAAATGTTTAAATATAAAAAAACAAACCGATTTGTTATCAAAATAAAACAAAATTTTGAAAATTGACAATTCGTTTAAATATAATACATATTAATCTATATTATATTTATTCGATCCATATCCCGAAAACTAATTTTGTATAATTATGTGCACCACATACGTCATCGATCGGAGAACACATTTATGGAATACTGCCCTTGACCGAATCGTTGACACTTCGCCGTACAATCAAACAATGACAAATAAAAAAATTATTATTTTTTAATAGTAAACATTTTTTTTTTCCAACGGTTTAACTATAACCATTTTCTGTTTTAAAGAAATACTCGTCATAATATTTTGTCTATGTACGTGCACAATTGTATAATAGTGGTTTACGATGTTATAATTTTTTTTTGTCTTATTGTATGACAAACGATGGTAACTGTAAAAGACAAAATGTAATTGAGGTCTTAACAATGATTATGGGCAACAAATATAAAAAAAAAATTCATCACTACTTCACTAAACTATTTTATAATCCTTTAAAAAAAAAAAAAATATTACTCATACCTATATTATAATAGTTCTCAATTTTTAATACGTAACGAAATACGTCAAATGATTCATAGAATATTAATCATTACTACATTATAATATAAAGATTATACGTTTGCAAGCTACTGTATAAATTGTGATAAAAAATAATATGAAAAATCAAAATATAATAATTATGTTCCAATTACACTTAACCAATTAAATTAATTTAATTTTTCCATACAATTGTACATATGCAATTGTGTAATTTATTTACATTTTAAGTACAAATTATTATTAATTTGATAATAATTATTAATTGTTCAGACTCATTTTAAATAAACACTTCGGACACACTTTGCACCATTTTGCACTTTGCACTGTCCACCACTTTGGTCCATCAAATGGAAAATTGTAAAAGTATAGGATAATTTAATTTTTTTAATTGAAAGCAATGATATACATATATTGTAAACAAAAAACGACTTTGGCCTTTAGTAAATTGGTTATAGTAATAGCTTCATTTTTCCCTTGTCACCAATGTACCACAGAAATCAATTTGATTAACAAATTAATGAGAATTTCGTAAAATATTTCACATAAAAAATTTCACATCTGGAAAAAAATTATTATCTTTTAAGGTATGGCATGAACAAATCTGAGCATTTTTATAAACTAAAAAAATGTTTTTCAAGAAAACTAAAATACACATCTTAGAATTTAAAATACAATTTAAATAAGTAAGTAGTTTTGAAAGTTATACAACTATATTTTATAGTTTTTGGAATACTATATTATAACTACTATTACACTTAATATAGTTTTAAAGTGATTTTACAGTTTTGACGATCATGTTTCTTTTAAATAAATTAGTAATTAAAAAAAAATTGAAATGTAGGTACATAATTAATATTTGTTAAACAGATATTAACTGTTTTATGCTATACACCTATTATCTCGTAATAAAAATTCATTGTTCTTTAATATTTATTTTTGGCTTAGAGTTTATCGTTTCTATGCGATTAAAATTGACCTGCTCGTCGATTTTATTTCTCTTGTTTAACTTTATGGTTGTATTCACTCAAAAAATTAATAAAACTTCCGAGAAATTATGAATTTATACTGAATAGCAAATTCGCCTAATGTAATATAATAATACGAGTATTAAATATAAGTATTAAAAAAATATAGGAAAAACAAGTTGTTTGTGTAGTAAACAAATAGCGTGTAATCAATTTCGATTTTCAGTTTAAATAATATAATTGATATATCCATCTTAATAACAATAAACAATATGTTTTGCTCTAATAATTTGTAATTATGCAATAATTTGTTTTAAAATTATTGTCTAATGATCTAAAAATTATACTATTACATTGAATTCCTCTTGTATATTTTAGTTATTATGTTTATATTAGTTTTTTCTATATTTTTTTGCTAATAAAAAAATATAATAACTAGTAATATACTTATGAGTTATGAATGTTATGACTTATTTCAAACATGTTCTATTCAAAGACGCACAAACCAAGCACCTATTAAAAATCTGACAAAAACCTTTGTATTTATTGTCGTCAGGTACCTATGCAATATAAATGCACACAATGGATTATAATGTTCTACTCCTTTGTCAAGTGAAATGTTAGATTACATTTTTATTTCAATAAATATACATTTTATAATATATTATTATTCTTATATCTTATAATAATAGTATTGATACATCGAGTAAAACTTAGACACGCCGTGACCTTTCAATTAAGTTAAAAATCTCGAGGTTCTTATTTGTATCATTTTCGTACATAAAACAATAGGATGATAATATAATTCAAGGGCGTTTCCCACATGATTCGTATCCGCATCATTGAGCAGTGTAACTAAGTGACAATACTAGAGTTAATTGTTATTTGTTAATTTTTTTTTTTCAAGACAATCCTTACCGAATCCTGACAAAATTAATTATCTATAATATATTAATCATTATTTAGATACATAGGTATAACTTAGATGGCGATCAATTTTACAATAAATTCCTAAGAAAATCGAGATATGATAGTTTTCAAAAATAATTTGTTTAGTTACAACTTACAAATGCTGCTGTTCGAAAATTGTATAGCACAATGGACATGTATTTCAATACATTGAGTTAAATTGTATGCAATTTATAATTTATTTGTATTATTTTTTTTTTATCCCCGATGAAGGATTTCTCTTTATTATACACACACAAATATAATATAATACATATAAATATATTAATATTACCTATAATATATTATACAAAATTGAAAATTGACATATTTTGGAAGTTTTACTAATACAATGAAAATATCCTATGATTCTTGTTTAAGATGGACTGTAGTTCGAGATAAGAAAAACGAAAAACACTTCTATTTAATATAATAAAATGCTGTTACATTTATATCATAACACTCACCTATAAACAGAACAATCATAGTTCAGTTATGTTGATAGAATAAGTATTAACTATAGATATTATTATACCTAATATGTTTATATGAAAATAAAAAATTGAGTTTTACAATAGAATAATGGACTTATGGACATATTGACATATTATTTTATCATATAATACACAATAATATGAAGACATATACATTTAATAGTAAACACATTACGAATTTGAAACACAATTTTCATATTTTTTATAAAAATGTAGGGAATCTATAAAGATTATGTAATTTTTTAGTTCCAGGAAAACGGACATGTCATTTTTTTTTTTTTTAAATTATTCTGAAATAATAAATATTCTTAATCCATATATTATTAAAAGAAATCGTAACATATTTATTATTACTTTAACAATACGTGCTATATATTTTTATTTTGTAATGATATGCACATCATTACGTAGTTATATTTTGGATTTTTATTGTTACAGCAGGATAATGGCATTGGCTGTAGTTCGTTTTTCGGTATTGTTTTGTTTATTTTATCAACCAAACTCTTTTGTTTTGGACATAGAACGATAAATAATTCAAAATTTAACTGTCAATGCGTTATATATATATTAGGTACCTATTTAGATAAATATTGTTATCCGACCATGTAAAACAATAATTCCTTACCTACGAAAATATTAATTATCGATAGTTGATTATTAAAGCAATTTGAAACGTAATGATAATACGTTGACTCATGAGGGATACTTAAAACGATTGTAAAATTATATGATACTAAGAAAAATTTGACAGGTACCATACTGTGTAAGTACTTATCGTTATTAAATATTTTTGAATATATTATATAATAATTAATTAATATATACATTATATAATATCATAATATATAGGATTATAGGCAATTAAGTATAAAAAAAAAAGGTAGGAAACATGGTTATTTAATTTATATATATATATATATATATCTACATGCAACAATAAGTCATTGCTAACAAAGTACAAAGTTTGATTGTTCATGATTTAAATAATTTTAAACGATTTTTAACTTACATTTATATATATAAAAAAAAAAATACATTACCTTTATGCTAACGCATAATTATTATATTTATTTTTTTTCCGCTAAATACTGATTATGATGAACCTCGTATAAAATTGTCAAACGTTTCTGCTCAACCAAAACAATTTATCCACTTAAAACTAAATTAAAACAATAAGATAGTATAGGTAGTTTAAAAATGTGTTACACAAGTCTTTGAAACAAATTCGTGTCAGATGAATTTTGACAAAACCGTGTAGGTTTGTCAAGAACGTCAAAATTGAAAGGCATCATATATTATTTTATAAGTAGCGTATAAAAAAAAAACTCTGAGAATTCTTCCAGTGTTACCCAATCAGAATCAAGAACAATTATTGTATTCATAAACGGCACAAAGTTCAAATAATTCAAATTTTATAGGGATAAAATAAGCGTTTTACGGATGACACAAACATCACCATACTTTGCAGAACCGCAGACCCACTTTAAGAAATATTTATGTGTTTATTTTTGTGTATATTTAAAATATTAAAATATTTTTTTGTTTTTTTCATTGTCATTGCAAAACAATATTTATTACAGTTTATCAATGTGACATTCTGACCTCTAACTGGGTAATGCTATAAAAGCTCCAGTGTGAAACTGTATAAAACTATACAGTGAAATTAATTAAAATAGTTTTATTATATCAATCGCATCATATTATACTAAATTTTGATTGGTACCCATAAGTATATAAATATTAGAAAAAACGTATACATATCGTCCTAAAGTACTTATATTCTGATGAACGCAGGAAACTAAGATCTTTTTTTCCTTGTGTAACCCTGTATAACTGACAGCAGATTGGGATTATTTACACATGACTACCTCGATACTGTCTAGAATATAGGGAGTTTTGACACAACGCCTTTGGATGTGCAAAAATATACTAAAAATTCTTATCGCATTTATAAAAAAATTATAATTTTAAAAATGGTTGCATTGTATTACCTAAATTATTTGAATACTTAATGATCAATAAAAATAAATGTCTTTTAGTTATGAAATTGTATGTGGTTTTGGATGATTTTTAATAGTCTTTTATCCGCAGTCTTAAATATAAACAAATCGTTTTAATATTTTGGATATATCTAATTATTTCTTCTTCGAGCTGAGTTGCAAAATATGTCGTGGCCTGTTTAAATTAACCTGAAATATTATTTTAATTGTTTGTTTTATTTTTAATATATTTTAAAACACGTTTATTCAAGTTCCATGTTTGGGGTGGCAACAATATAGAGTCAAAATTCAAAATAAAATCAAACCAAAAAAATATTCAAGTACACCCAAAAGGGCTTTTGTTACTGCGTCTTCCACCAAAACGGTTTCGTCCAAACAGCCACGCCCAAATGTCCAATGTTCCCAGGACAAATATTACGGTCGTATGGTCGTAAAAGGGCGAGCGAAGGCAGTAGGAACCCAGTTTTCAAGACTAGTCGCTGTGTAACTTACATAGGTATAGGAGATATAAAGTAAATGTATCGCAAATTCTGTGTCTTCATTTATTAAATGTGTATATAATTAATAATACTGTGCAAAAGATATACACGGCATTTCTCAGACGGTCACAACTAACAATAATATAATATATAGCGTATTCGCGTTTCCAAGTAATACTAAATATTTCGGCTAGATGACTTTGGATTTAAATTTCATTTTCGGGATGTGATATAAGGGAGGTGACTGAAATACACATTTTAAAATAAATTTAAATTGTTTAACTCTTTTGGTTTGAGCATGTGCAATACAAACTAAACAAATTGAAAATTTCATAAACATAATATTTTTTAACCTGGACGGTAAATATTTCTGGTTTATAAGTTTTAGTAACACCGGTGTTTGAATAGTGCTCCATTACTGTCCTCTTTACCAAACCTAAAGTATATGCATACTAATAATTCATCTATTCAAAAAATTTGTAATATGGGTTGTTATTTTAAAACCAAAAACGCTTTCAATCAACCCCTAAAATAATAATAATAAACAAATTCCGAAAAAAGTCAATACTTTTCGTGATAACGAGTGTGTAACAAGACATTGATCGTCCTATATATATAATATATGTGTATACAAATGGGAATCGTAAAAAGCGAAATGGAACGAGCGTGCGGGAAATAGATTGCGCGTGTTTTTTTTTTTTTTATACGCCCATTCGTACGGCACGGGGAGCGAAAAGGACACAAAATCTCGTCGTTGTGTAAGCCCGTATATTAATAATGGAAAGTATAATATATATTATATTATTATCGTGGAGGAAGGTTCCGTCGAACGCCTGCGCCCGTTTCATTACGTCAGTTAAATAGGTATTCGTTTTGTCATGTTTTTTTTTCCTTTTTCTGACGTTCGGCAAAAATGTGCCGACGCGTGTCGTCTTCTCGTCGTGTGATTCCATGCGGATGCGGATAGTTTTTGCCAGCCACCAATCGTGCTAATCCCGTTACAGCCACAGGTTTCTGCGGCGATCAAAAATAAAGAATCCATATAATGGAATATAAATACGCACTTGCAAACTGTGTGTACCATATCGATAGTTTTCGTTAGTTTAATTGAACCATTGTCGAATATTAATAATTATCCCCGTAAATAACAAACTATTTGAAATATTTTGAATCCATCGAATAGAAATTGTTCGGTTTTGTCCAATTATATAATGTGTGTAAAGCTGCGCTGCAGTAACTGTATACAGGTTGAATAGGAATTTATGTTATTGTTTCGCATACTCTCTTTTTTTTGTCTATTTTTTATCAAATTTTCTACCAGAAATCTTGTTCCCATAGTAGTATACATTTTGAATCAAATTTTGTTTAGTTATTGCATTGAGAGGTCATTTTTTAAATTTCTTAGTATTTTTCTTAAACAATATAGTGAATGTGTGACAAAAAAATTTCCCATCCCTATCGATAACTAAAAAAATTACTTAAAGATACGCGGGTGACTTGTCAACAGTTTAATATTTAGGACGTCTCTATCTCTCCTACGCACGTACACATTCATTCTCGGAAATGAAAACGCACATTTTTTCTTCTTCTTCGGCTGTGACTAACGTCACCGCATCGAAAGCGGACAAGTATTATTAATTTATTGCGCGTACATTATATCCAAATATGTATTATGTTTACTTTTATCGTTATTAATTTTGTTTTTTTTTTTTCGATTATTAAAAATGCAACTCGCAGTGTTATCGAACGCCTCGAAACACATACCTACCTATAATACATAACATTTATATATAATATATATTATACGTATGTATAGATAAAATAAGCACAATAAATATATACAATTGTATACCTTGAATTAATAATCGTTTTTATAAAATCGTATTACGTACTATACGTCCATATTAAAAATAATAACATTATTATTATGTTGGCAGTCGAGACTCGAAGTCCAATCGAATATAATGTAGGTATCGCATGTATTTGCACAAGTTGAACTGAAACGTGCAGTGTAAAGCAGACATAATTTCACAAAATAAATTAATTATCTTGCAATAAATTGAACATTATTTTTATTCAAAAAACTCTATCAATATTTTTAAATTCTGAACTCAGGTTATGATGTGTTTTTTTTTTTTGTGCGTTTTCGAACAAATTTTTTTACTAGAAATCTTACTCCAATCAAAAATGGCAAGAGAGCAAAATGTTAATTCTAGTTTACTTATATGCATTGAGAAGTTTATTTTTTAATTTTTGTTTCAGTTGTTTTAATAACTAGGAAAAAACAGGAGAGTTTACGAAAATAACGGATCCATTATTTACGATTTTGTTTTTTATTGTATTGATATTTTGTACTTGCAATTTGTTGAGAATATTTTTAAATGTTAGCCTTTTATAGACGTGATAAAATATCCAAAACATTCTGGTCATTTTTGAACTATTTCTAGACATTTGATATTTTCAAGGTTTTTCGTTTTAATTCGGTTTTATATAGATATATTTATTTTAGCCAAGCAGTATGCTTGAACATTGTACACGAAATTCATGATTAGTTATACTAGGTGATAAAAAAAAAGTTTAGCGTTATGTAATAATTTTTGTAACAAGTTTTTTAAGTTCAAATTGTGAACACCATTATTTCAAACCATGTTCTTTTAATTGAAAGATTATACCTAAATAATAGTCATAAACATCAATAATTTAAAATATGCATTAACACAGAAGAAATGTTATTCTTTATTTATGTATATTTTATGTATGTACAATTTTATTTATATTTATATTATATTATATTTATATTTTATATATTTATATTTTATTTATGTATGTTTATTTATGATGGTCTTTATATTTAATTTTCAAGAAGTATAAGCAAATAGATAAATAACATTTTCAATTAAATTTACCAATATTTCAAATGTAAAAAAAGAGCTGTCACTGTTAATGGGTGAAAAACTGTTGTAGGTAGAAAGGTAGGATACATAAAGTTATTTAATTTATATTTGTAAGTAACTAAATACGACTCTGAACGAAGTTCGGTTAGGTATACTTGATTTGAAATATCGTAATATTTATGATTTTCTTAAAACTTTTATCTAAAAATGCTTATAAAAAAAATAACTACTATTTATAACTTCACATTTTTTTTAACTACTAAGTAAAACTTAAAATGAAATTTGTATTCAATTTGCAAGCATTTCTGTTTGGTCAAACAATTTTATTCGTACAATAACTGCCAAATAAATAATAAAAAAAAAGTTAAAATATTATATGACCATAAATAGCTCAAAAATTGTTAGAATGTTTTGAAAATGTATACACGTGTGAATAAAATTGAAAATAATGAAACTGTTATTTCCGTAAACTTTCCCATTCTTTTTACAGTTTTTCCACTTTTATCCAGTTATTAAGAAAATACAAACATTACGTATTACTTCAACCAGACAAAATTTACTTTTAAGATGCTAATCATAGTAAATCGGAGCATGATTACTGGTGTAAAAGTTGTTCACGAACAGAAAAAGAAAAAACACAACATAATAAACTAATACAATCTTCACTCCGTTTAAAATCTGAAGTATATATGCATGTATTATACACGTAAATAATAAATATAAATATCGTAAACAGTGGCGCCAGGATTTTTTTTCCGGGGTGGGCCGATAGGCGCAGTGACCCGGAATTAGAGGGGAATAGTTATTTAAATTAAATTATTAAATATAAACAAAACGTACTGTAAACATCGAAACGTTAAACCATGGACAATTATAAAATAAATAGTAATGCTATGTACTTACATTAACGATTGCAGCCTGTAGGAGCCTATAGAGAATTGTCTACAAATAGATTTATACCATAATATTTTTACGTGAATAGCGCTAAGTATAAAATATAAACAAGCGTAAAACTGTGTTATGATTTAGGAAAACCGGATACTGCCATTAGATAGGTACACGTGTTATAAACTATTTACTTTTAGATTTTGAGCGGACCATGGAATGTATTGGTTTTATAATGTTAATTTATATTTTTTTATCTATAAACAACTTTTCTACCAGAAATTTTACTTCCATTTTGAAAAGTATTACTTTTTCTGAACTGTACTTTATCTGGGTGGTATTTTAATGAGGTCATTTTTTTGATTTTCCAAGGAGTTTTCATAATAAATGGGGAAAAAACGGGAAAATTTACGAAGTTTATTAATTTCAATTTTGTATCATTGTTGTGATTCAGTGAAAAATATTCTTTAGTGCTTAATATTGTAATATACCATATTTTGTATACTACCAAATCATCCAAATCATTACTGTGGAGAGGTTGTTTCAGTTGTAAACACCATCAAAACTCGTATTCTTGGACACTGCGTCCAATAGGGCATCCTAATAGTCAGTGCCCACGGTCAGAAAGATATTTTTTGTATTCAAAATTTTCAGATATTATACGCACATCATAGCCACTTTATTATAAAGGATTAAGGATAATTTAATAAGAAATAAGATTTACAAATGTTTGTTATTTTACTTACTATAAGTACTTAGAAAAACTTTAAAATATCGAAAATTATTAAAACAGTATTGTACCTATACAGAAAATGGCGATTTTTCAAATCTTTCTTTTTCATAATAGGTATATCTTATATCATTGGTCCCGGAGCCTAAGTCAATTTTGGATGGTTTGCAATACAAATAAATTAAATTTTTTTAAATTGTTCAGTGACCTAATGTAATAATTGATAAATAGCTAAATATATTGCTCAATAGTGACCTAATCTAATTATTAAATATGGCATCCTTACGAGGACGGTACACATAGATTTGTTGTTTCTGTCTTACAAACGCACGATATAGTAAATACTGAATGATCATGCAGATTGCATGGAACTCGCTTAATTTTGGTTTTAAAATAAAAATACATATAAAATCAGAAGCAAACAGTTTTCCGGAAGGCAAGAATTGTGTAGGTGGAGCTACGGGGTATGTCAAGTATGCTTAAGCACACTTTAAACTTCTACTGTCCAAATCAATTTGAACTTGAGGAAAACTTATTTTTAATTTATTGTATTATAAATTGAAAATGTTTAAAATTCAAACGGATGTTGCTAAAAAAAACTATTGATTATAAATTAATGTATGATACATTACAATGTTTTAAATATTTTTGTATAAAATTACTGTTTTATAAATATTTTAAATATAAGTGAGTACCTAAATGAAGTTATTAATTTTTTTTTTTTTGTAATAAGGAGATAAAAATAAAATTGTAATTTTTTTCTAAATAAATGTCTTCTACCTAAAAGAAAACAGATTGAAAAAACATTGTTTAAAAAAATATTGAACATTAACAGCTCTAGAAAAATCCGTCGGTAGGACACCATTAAATACTTTATTTCGATCAAAAACATAATAATAATAATAAATCTACTTCCTTTGGTTTTAACGAGTTATTTAATTTAGAACATCCTCTGGATCTATCTACACTTTTATCAACTGTGTTCATTGCTCATGCAATTTAAACAGTTGTTGTCTTTAAAATTACAAAAAGTATTAGTTTAATTTTCGATGTTACTTTTTATTTCAAAGATATAGAAGTAGGTACTAGAATAAAAAAAAAAAAAAGGCAAGGGTAATTGGATACCATATCCTCCTGTGATTACGCCACTGTACTGATATTGATATCTGCTAGTTAAGTGTTATTCGTCCGCATTTTCAAATATCAGTCAAAATTTTAAAATAATGTTAATATTGTCCTTCCAATACTAATATTTAAGTATACAATAATATAATGATTTTACCAGGAATAGTGACATGCATCCATGCAGAAAGTTTTGGTTTTACTAAATCGTCCGTGTAAGAGATAAAATTTCCTTCCAGTATATACCATATTTGGTCGAGTATATTTAGTGATAATACTCTATTACTCTTCAGCGGTCAGATTTATATTTACTACCTATTAAAACTATGGGTAAATATCCAATTATTATGATTTGTTTTTTTTCACAACTATTTGAATCATCACAAACGGGTATTCACACAAGTACTATGTGTAATCAAGTGTTTTTACCGCTAATAAAGAAAATTATTATTTAGGTTAGTTTAAAGTGTAACAATAGAACAAAATATAACAAAACCATCAATAATGACATAAATATGCTGTTTTAAGTTGGTTATTTTTAGCCCTGACACACTTTCTACCAATTGGCACGGAAGTGACCCTGGTCAAATGGTACCTATACGGACCTAACACCACATGTGTATAATAATAATAATAATAATATTAATTTATAACCTAAAAATCTATCACCAAATCAATTCAATTGATGACTCTAATCAGTTACAAAACGATCTAGATGAAATTTCAGTGTGGTATCTTTAAAACAGTCTTTTAATTAACCCTTCTAAGTTTAAATACGTTTTTATTTAACTGTTTAAGAAATAAAACTACAGCCACATATGGTATTAGCAATTCTGAATTACAAATCTCATCTACTGTGCGTGATTTAGATGTTTTATTGTCCTCTGATCTCCCATTCAATGGTTCATACCGACGCTAAATCTTACGGGCAATTGGCTTCATAAACCGAAACTGTTCTGAATTTAAAAATATTGATTGTCTTAAAATGTTATATTGCTCTCTTATCTGGTCCATATTAGAATTTTTGTCAGTAATTTGTAATCCTATACAAAATTACCTAATTGACAAACTTGAAAAAATCCAACGATGCTTTTTGAAGAAGATGGCATACAAATTAGGTCGAATTGATGTCTATAATAGAGATACCTTGGCTATAGAATTTGGTTTAGAATTACTTTCCTCTAGAAGGTTATATAATGGCATAGCTTTTGTCCACATATTAATAAACGGTAAACTATCCTACCCAGAATTCCTAACTAAGATAAATTTTAAAATTTTAATATTCAACTCAAGAAATAGTTGCCCTTTTTTAGTAGCACAATGCTGCACAAATATCATTAAACATAGTCCGGAGTATCGCCTTTTAGATGCTTGTAAAAATGTACCTAACTTTGATTTTTCTTTTAATCTACAACTTAATTAAGCATATAATATTCAATACTAGTTAACCTACATGAATTCATGTTATATTATATATTTTTATATAATTAATTATAATTATTGTTATATATTTGTGTCCATTTTTTCTAATTTTTCTTTTTTGTACAATCTGTTATTCAATATTTAGATTTACAATGTATGATATTTTATGTAATTATAATTGTACTCTTTACCACTTTGGGGTGTTATATTTTGTTATACAATAATTTATATTCACATAAGTACAATATAATATTAGTTTAACAACAAAACAAATAATTGTATTAAGCCGTAGATACGACTCATCCCAAACTATAATACATTTTAAACATTTTAAGGTATTATACTTATTATAGCGCGCGGTTACCAACATGCAGTGGCGTGGTGAAAGATTTTTCCCTAATTCAATTGCTTAACCCTCGAAATATGTGAAAGGCGGACAGAAAATAGCCAGTGAGGTGGTCATTTTTAAAATAATTGCTTAGGGTTTGAAACATACGCTCGTCATGCCAATGTGTAAATGCATAACTGTGTACAAACTAGAACTGTCGAGATTAAAAAATAAACGTAACATACACCTACAAACATTATATTTCTAATAATATATGAATTACTTTCTCTGTGCAATAGAATAATAACAATAATGAAATATTGCGTAAACGAAAAGAAGTTAAGGTTGTTATAAAAATTATTATCTTCTTATAGTTTAACCTCAGCTAAGCAGAACGAATAGCTACACCTTACCTTACAAGTAGATATTACTCATTAATACCTATGTATACTATTATCCACAATGTTCAACTAGAGTAGGTAACTCAAAATAGACAGTAGGGGCATAATATAATTTCAATTTTAAGATAATAATTATTGCACCGTCAAGGTATACTGCGCTTTTGGCCAAATTCAAATAAAACTGAGTTGAACTTTAAATAATAGAAACCTATTAATGCTGAACAATACTTTGACTAATCCCGGAATCGGGATTAAAAGTATCAATCCGGATCATTCCGGGTTCGGTGCTCAGCATTAATACCTAACTAATAAAATACATAGATACGCACAGCAAATTATTCAATAAATAATTAGGTAATAGCTAGGCAGATATACGATATAATTTTGATTTTGTGCTGGTACCTATAATCTAGTTTCCATGGACGTAATCGTAAACGTATAGTACCTAACCTTATTAGTACCATATTATTAATATAATTATTGTTGTATATTGTTATATGGTAACCGGTAGATACAAAATATTATTTTAATTCATTAATTTTCTATAAATTCAATTTAAGTTTTTTATAGCAATCCGCAAAGTAATTTTTGTATAGGTACTCATATCACTGTAAAACCATAGATTAAAGTATGAAAATATTATAATTTATATTGTGTCTATAATAGTAAAACTAATATTTCTGGTCGGGTTCTAAAATTATAATTCATAATATAAATCAAATGTTACTTTCACTTTAAGTTAGCGAAACGGTGCGTGATGGAAAGAAAATTAATTAAATACATGTAAAAGTGCATTATAACTAATATATTAAATTTTGTTAATTCCGGAAAATCAATTATTCATAGTTTGAGTGTTTGACCATCAAAACTATTTCCCTATTTATTACCTATATTGAACTATTAAGCAGACCGTCTAAACGATGTATATGTTTGATTTTAGATTCATCATCATGCTTCAGCAGATTCTTAAAGATATGTATGTTGATCCGGAGTTACTGGCTGAATTAGATGAAGCACAAAAACAAACATTGTTTTGCAGAATGCGCGAAGAACAAGTGCGACGTTGGAGTGTCTGGGATCATAGTGAAAATAGCAAAGCTATTAACTCAAAAAAACATAAAAGTAAAATACAATTTTAAAATATAGATGTGTTTAATTTATGTAATTGAAGAAAAAACATTTAAATACCTACAGAAATAATGGTGTCTATTTATAGAAATATTACAATTGAATATTATAATTGAAATCCGTGAGTATTATCTGATATATTAGGTATAACCGTATAGGTACTTAGTACTTACCTAATGGCTTATAAATACCTATTTCTATGTTCCGTTTTGGTAAAAATGTAAGATTTTCTGTTAAATTAAACTAAACTTAATAAATCTATACCTACCTACCTAATAATACTCACGACTGAAAATTATATTCTTCTTTTATGAAAATGAGATTATATTGGATTATATTACTTTAGGTAAAAAAAAAGTACAATGGCTGTTGGATGTAGATGGTGAGCCGTGGACATGGATCATGGGTGAACATAAAGATGATAAAACTATCGAGCAAATAATCGAAGAAGAGGCTAGAGAAGCTGCAAGAGTACAAGCAGAGCATGAGACTGAACATTTGAGGTTATTTATTAAAACTAAACAAACATTAATTTATAATATTTAAGCATTTATATATTTTAATTAGTCATTTGCTTATACAATATTTTTTTTTATTAAAAATTATAAAATAAAATAAATTTATAATTAATGTAGTATGCACTGATGTGTATATCAATCGTATTAAATATATAGGTTTACATTATTAGTAATATTTATCATTTCTTAAAATAATAAATTACTTTATCGATTAGTTTTATTCTATTAATTTATTTTTAGTAGGCACCTAGTAGGTTTATATATAATATTTATTTTTGCTATAATATAGTCTTTAAATGCTATGAATACACAAATTATAGGAATAATATCATTCATTTTTTTACTTATACAATATTACATTTTATATTACCTGGCGTTGATTGAATAAATAAATTATGTAAACAACCAAATTTTTAATGTTCTTTATCAACACCTGAAAATTTAACAAAATTAAAATATAACTATTATAACTGTTTGGTCATTTTTTATTTTTATTTTTTGAATCTAGATTAAAAGTTGAATCTGAATTGATGGCAATGTTGGAAAGTAAAACAAAACAGCAATTCCATCCACCAGAAAATAAATATTCACATGACAGTGAAGTAATTTACTGTTCCGTAGAAGATTTGAAAACTAAAAATACAAGAAAATCATGTGCAACCGCAACACCTGCAATACGTGGGGCTTTGAAAGAACTGTCATTCAATAAAGTATTTCATTTATACTTACTATACTTCATAATAATAACCATAGTCTATGAATGATTCTTTGAATGATATGATATAACATAATATGATGTATAGAATCTTCTGATCATATTGTGTATGTTTTGTATCACTATATAATATACGTATATACATACATACACACATACATAAAAAAATATATATATACATATATATTAGTGGAACCAATCGTTCGATGAGCTCCTGAACATAAAGTTCATTGAACTGTTGTACAGGTGTCCGAGCGTGTGAGAAATTGGGAACATAGAGTGATGGAAGAACGTACATCGGAAATCTATAAAATAATGAAAAATAAAAAAGAAGAAGAAGAGAGACAAGCTGAAGAAGCAGATAAAAAGCAAGAAATTGTTTGGAGAGAACAAGGTAAATATTTATTATTATTATTTTATGTTAAAAATAATATTAGTAGATTACCTATTTACATATTTGTTTTTAATATTTCATTAGCTTTTAACGGTATAATTTGGTTCTATAATTACCTAAAATAATCTATATAGGTATCAATTTATATATTATATCACTATAAAATGCTGTTATAATAATAATATATAAAGATCGACCTATACTAATAATACTGGTAATTCAACTATTAATATTTAATAACATAATAATAATATACCTATAGCCTATATGTAATAGGTGTATAATTATAATACTTGTATTTCCATAGAATAATAAATTATGGAATCACATTTTAAAATATCTTTAAACCGAAATTCATTTTTTAAAAAGACAAGAGTTTCTGTACATCATATTTGTAAACGTTTAAATTCATTGTTTTTTAGATTTGATTAATTTTAGTTTCTAAGTGGAGCAAAGAAGCTTATGATTTTACAAAGATTATTATTTTTTTTTTATTCTATGCACAACTTTTCTACCTGAGGACTTGCTCCGATTTTTACGTGTAACACCTTTTCCGAAAGGATATCGGTATGGGGAGGTACTCCCCAGGTACTTTAAAGAGGTAATTTTTCGATTTTCTCAAGAGTTTTCTCATCAAATACGAAAAACCGAAAAAAACAACCGGGATAATGTACGAAATATATTTTTGTAATTTTACGGTTTTGTTCTTTCTTATGAACAATTTTTCTAAAAGTAAATTTCACTGGGGAGGTACTTTAAAGACCTCGCACATCGATTTTTTCCGGAGTTTTCTCAACAGATGTGAAAAACTGAAAAAAAACATGGGAACCTGGAAAAACGTATTAAATCCAGGAAGATCAGTACAACATTAAACAAATATTATTAAAGAAAATATATAGAGCATATTTAATTATTTTACTATAATATGGCATAAATATTTTTAGCATCACTATCAACTGAATTTTGAACTGAAAATTGTTTTTTTCGTAATCAATGGCTTATCGTTGCTTTCATGTATACATTAAATTACCTATAATAGTGGCTGCACCTGTCCCCATTATTCTAAGACTTATTTTTAAATGTGTAACTAATAAAACTATTAGCTATTTATTATTTTCACTTACATATTACATAAACCAATAATTTATATGAACTATAGAAAAGGCATTATAATTACTTAACTACATTACATTAGGTATATATTTTATTCGTTATTGCCATTTGGTACTTATCATATTCGGGGACTAAAATACTATGAATATTATTACACAAAACTATGACAACCATACAATAGTACATTAATTTAATTATTCAAATTATTGTTATAATTGACTATAAGTCAATAGATTTAAGTACTTAAAAATTTAATTTTTATCAAAAACGATTGAATACTAAATTTTTAATAAACCAAACACTTTATCATTGAACATTTATTTTTAATTTATAGATTTTAAAATTTACTGATTTTCAACAAAGCAATAAATAAAATAATTAAGTACTGAATTAAAAATATAAACGTGTATATACCTACTTTGTTATAGATTTGAACTATTAAAATTTAAATTTCATCTAATTTTAAATTTTGACAGCTACGTGCCAAAACTTTAAAATTTTTTTTTAATAATTTTGGTTTTTTATGTTGTATACATTGTAAAAATAATGATGTATATAATTCAATTTTTTACAACATTATTTATAATTTTATTAATAAGTAACATTCTTAAATTTAATCATAATATCGAACCAAACAAACATCTTTTATCTCTTCTGGGCCATTTGTAAAAATTGAGTTACGAAATTTGGTACATAACTGTTGATATTACAAATTATTTTACCTACATTTTTGATTCGTAAAGGTTCTATCACTGAATTAGAAATTACAAATATAAATCTATTTGTATTCGGAACTTTAGGTATCTACCTATCTAATAAATAATTGTTCTACACAATGAAAATAACATTTTTCTTAAATTAACCGTTATTAAATGCTAAATAGTAAACACAATTTTTTTTAAATAGAAGCATATAATTTTAGTTGTATTACCTATAACAATTTAAATATTTTCAGAACAAAAGGCTAAAGAAGCTGAATTGCAAAAACGTCAAATTGCACGCCAAGCTAGAGAAGAACATAGAAAGTCAATGCTCTGTTTTGAAAAACCTTTTAAGTAATTTATGTGTTGAAAATTGAACATACAGTTTGGAGCAGAAGATTAAACATAATAGTTTTCATAAGTTAGGCAACCAAATCAACCTGCAAACTAAAATTGATTAAGTTTCAAGTTTGTAAAGTAATTTGTTTGCCTAGCTGCTACTAACTAGTAAAAACATTACTACCTACCTAAATTACTTAATCATTCTGCACCATTCTGTAAATATAATCATAAATTAATAAAGTATACTTTAAATAATACATTCATTTTAGTGGTGTTTTTGTTCCGGATTCATCTAAACCACCAAGTAAAAAAGCTGTTATTGAATGGTTTAGAGCAAAAGAAATACCTAGGAGAGCTGGATTTGACCAAAACAAAAATGCCATAGCCACTTGGTTTCACGGTATTTACTATAGTTTAATCAATATAACCACTTTTAAAGGTCCACTAAATAAAGTTGTTCTATTCAAAAGATTTTATGATACTTAACCAATGTTTATGTATATACGCTGTACACACAAATAATAACTCAGGGAAATTTGGTTTTACTTACTATTTTTTTTTCTTTGTACTAATGTATTCATTTATTATGTTTACTATACTCTGTATCCACTACATAATAATAATAATGTCTTAAATTATATATTAATAATAATTTATTTATAGGGCTCATAACCAGACAAGAAGCAGAAGTATTGCTTAACAAAGAACCAGTCGGTAGTTTTTTAGTAAGAATATCTGAAAGAATTTGGGGTTATGCCATCACCTATAAAGACTTTGATTGTTGTAAACATTATTTGGTAGATGCCTCTAATGGTCATTATCAATTTTTAGGGGCTAATCAAATGGCTCATAACACATTGAGTGAGTTATTTTGAATTTATAAATTATTTTCTTTTTTTGATTAGTTAAAATAATACTTAAAATAATAAAATTTGAATTCAAGTACTAATTATATAACCTACTTGGTTATATTTTAAGTCAAATGTAATTAATTTTAAATAATAAATTATAATACACACACACACACATACCGAGTGATCCATTTAATATAAAACACTCATTATTTCACAAAGTATTTACTTTTATCAAAACAAATTTTTTTAACAAACTAAGAATCAAGCAGCTCTAAAATGTCACAAAAAAAATTAAAATGTATTTAAATTAATACTCCATCTATTTATGGAATTTTAAATTTAGATTAATATTTGAAAAACAAAAGTAGGTATTTGTTTCACCCCTAATAATAAGGGTGACAAAAAATAATGGTAACATAACATTTCAGCGCTATTTTCTGTTTATATTTTCAAAAACAATTTTTTATGAAAAGTCAATATTTCATGAAACAATGAGTATTTTACATTAAATGAACTACCTATATAAATCTTTATAGGTTAGATTAATCAATGAATTTTAAATTAATTTCATACCTACTTATCTACTTATACAAATCTTATTGAATATTAGGTATAATTTCCCCAAAAATATTATATTTAAATACGATCATTCTCTATTTTAAATATTTACTGTGTTTTTGTTTTTATTTTTTCTAGGTGAATTAATTACCTATCATCGAAACATGCCCATTACTAAGACTGGTGAAGAACTGTTACTTAGACCCTGTAATCGTACTACAAATTTACCTCCTCTTGTTTTTCAAGGCCTACTGAAAACATGATAATACCTAGTACCTACTTATATTTATAATAATGATTTATAATATTATTTTATTTAATAATAATCAATATTTTTATATGATATATGATAAAAGTAAAATATTTATTTCTCATAATTAATATTTTTTAAAACTATAATATATTTTACCTAAATATGATATTTTTTTAAGTACCAGTACCTATTATAAAGATTTTATTAAATAAATAAAATAATAAAGTTTATTTTATTTGTTGTACATTATAGTAATTATTATTTTTATTTACCTTTAAACACTAACATATTATATTATATATTAGATTGTTTCCTTAAGTAGGTACCAATAGTGCTACTTTGTTAATTTGTAAAACTTGTCATTTTAATGTGTAGCCACTAGTTCAATACTTAAGAAGTGAAAAGTTGATGACGGAATTTATAATGGTCAACCATAATTTTGTATAAATGTATAAATAATAATAATAATTTTCACTTTGAATTCTTATACAATTGTGTATAAGCCATAAACTATATATTGATACCTACCTATATATTATGAAAGTAGTAAAATTATTTTTAATTTTTTACACCACATTTTGGTCATATCATGGTATATATGTCATATATATATATATATATATATATATATATATTTACCTATTTATAAATTTAAATTTTTAGCATAAAACCAGGAAATTCAACTCATGTACCTACTAAGTACTTAGCAAATATTATATTCACACAATTACTTTCCAAATGTTTTCACATGCCGATTGTATGTAGCTCTGGCCCACACGACTTGTACAATTGCCAATACTTGGCAGTCGTAGGTGTTCCTAATTCCTTGTATGAATTGTAAATATTCCCATTGGGAAGACTCATTTACACTTTTCTCGTCATTCTTGATAGCTAATGGCAAGTAATGTCAAGTCTTATTGCCAGTGTAATCGACTATCTACTTTGCAAATTTTAAACATAGGTAACTACGTTAATATATTGCCCTTTTTTAGCATAATATATATTTGTTTCTAATTCGGTTAGAAATAATCGTAAATAACTACTCTAAATATTTACGATATATTTGATTAATTTTAATTTATCCCAGACATTATATGGAATAATTTTCAAAATATTTTGATAATATTTGCTTCCTTAACCTATCCATCTACTTTTGACATACCTACCTACGGTTAATGTTTAAACACAACTATTTGCTAATGGGAATCCCAGCGATATGTGATATAAATTCGGATTTCTGATTTTAAAATTTAGGTTTTTGCTTCAATTCAAAATTATTTTCTGAACTATTATACTTAGATTTTTAATTTTATAAAAAAAAAATATAGATACAACAATTTCGTATAAAATATTAAATATCATACATATTCTACATGTCTCATAAAGCTTAAATCACAACAATTTATCAATAAGTTTAATGAGTATTTCGGTGAGTTCCTCTTTAAATTCATGTTTGCAGCATTCATGTAATTGCAGAATGACATATCTAATACCCATATTTCATATTGGGTATGTATATGGGTATATTTACCCATATTTTTTATATTTTATTTAAAAATGTAAACTTAGAAGTCCATTATAGAATAAAATATAGGTATTTAATTAAATTAAATTATAATTAAAAAAACTATGTTCTATGGACATACATATATTTACACATTTTTAATTTTAGATTCCAAACGTAGATACTGGATTTATAGTATGATGATGTACCGGTTTTAATTTTATTTTTTATTGCCTGTTAACGACTTTTCAACGAATAATCTGACTCTGATTATATACCTCAGAGGTGGTTTCTGCAGGTACCTAATTTTGTCAAGTTGGTACATAAGAGATGTATATTTTTTATTTTATTTTTAGTTTTCTAATAATTGGAAAAAAAAACTGGGAAGAAGCGTCTGAAAAAGGTGAAAATTGAAAAACTTATTTATTGATTTCTATGTTTCGATTTTGTTTTTTTTTTTCAGTTGAAATTCAGTTAAAAATATTGGTAAAGACCTGCAATTTATAAAGAATAAGTTATATTAGTGCTATTATTTATAGCTAGGTATTTGAACATTTCGAGGTTGTTTTAGTTTTTATTTGGTTTATATGGATGCAATTTTATTGGTAGGTATTTCAAAAAGGCTAAAGATTTAATACAAAGTTAATCATAAATTGCATTTTTCAAACATCAAAAATTTGCAGCTACAATTTGTTTATACTCTTTATTTAAAATTCAAATTTCGATGAAAACCTCTATTTGACGATTTACCTAGGTGGCAATTTCGTTTAGCTAGCTAAATGCAAAACACTTTTTTTAACACAATTGCTTTTTAGGTATAACGTATTATTATTTACTTTCTAATAACTAAAGGTACTAATATAAAATAATAATTTCTTTAAACCAACTTGCCGTTACAATTGTAAATTATAATATAATCTTGACAAATAGATACTTATATAATAGCAGTGACGTTTTCTTAATTGGGGGAGGACAGTTACATATTTATTGGGAGGTGTTAGAATACATCACTGAAGAAGAGGATGTCTAAAAATTACAAGTATATTGTTAAACGTCAATATACAAAGCTTCTCATCCAAAATATTTTATTTCTTATTGATAAGCCAGTGTTGAAGGTGGGAATATAATATAAGACGCAAGTACCTATAGGGTAATTCAATATTCACATCTTTACGTAATGGTAATAAATAAATCGTTTCTAATGAAAAACGATTCTGAACAAACTTCGGTTAATCATGTTTTTATAAACTTAGGAAATAAACTGAAAATTTTATTTGTATCGAATTACAAATATCCGTATATTTTGGTCTCAACTTTATGAGTATTTTTATAGAGCTAAAAAGTTTTCTCCTCGTTAATCGTAAACATTTTGTCTGTTTTTGAATGAAACAACATTTCTGGTAGAAAAGTTATTAACAGACGACGAATTTTTGTTTAAAATTTACATCATAGTAAAACAAATATAATATAGGTTCACAATCAAATATACGCCATAAAGAGTAAATTAGGTAACATAAACATGAAATGATTATGATTAAATAAATAAATAAAATATTTTAAAAATACGATTAATGGGAAGGGGCATAATCACCATGTCCAGGGAACCATAGTGACGTAGCCAGCTCTCCCTCCCAGGTACACACTGATATATAAGTATTATAATATACCTTTGTAAAAATATTTAGGTATCTTAGGTATATATAGTAAGATAAGCTAAGTACCTCTCTAATTGATACTTTATCTTAATTAAATATAAACCTAATTTGTTGGTGTAAAGGTAAACAATTTATGGGCTTCGTTCTTATGTTTCGAATTTCAATGTTGTTTTGATCTATAGATCATACATCCGGAATTTTGTCATAACTGACTTTGTTCCATTAATTGATTTTATCGTACCCGTGTACAATATGCACAATATTATTATGTTTTCATAATTCTATATCTAAAAAAAGTTAATCGACAACTGGCAAAAAGATTATAAGTAGGTACCTACTGTAAATTATTATTCTACGGGAATTAATGCGTATATACGTGATCAAAAACATAATATTCAAAACAAAATGGCAAATGGTATATTATTTTTGGCCTAGGGATGAGGCGAGGCACAAGGAGCAATAAATGACATTGGATTTATTCCTGTTTAACAGCTGCTGCTGCCATTTACTGCCATTATAATAATAATAATATAAGGCTACAAACTGCCCACGTTGGTGTGCCTGTGGAAAAAACGTCGTTTGGTCACAGTGTCGTTTAGGCGAAGCGATTGGTTCCCCGTATATCAGTAATGATAAATTATCCAATAATTGACGATTGTGATGAGCTCATTCGGTCCGTAATTTACTCGGAACTTTTTTTTTTTATTATTAGTTTTACCAATCAGTTAATTGCATACTTGTAATCGTTTATATTTCGTTTAAAAGTTTTGTATTTATTTTGTAAGTGCGATCAATTGTGTATTTTTAATCGATTTTGTAGTTAAATTCAGAACAGGGCCAACGCCTAGTTTTTTTTTGATAAGCATAACATTCCGACATAATGGCAGCAATCCGTAAGAAACTTGTCATCGTCGGCGACGGTGCTTGCGGAAAAACATGCCTGTTAATCGTGTTTTCCAAAGATCAATTCCCAGAAGTATATGTACCCACCGTGTTCGAGAACTATGTAGCTGATATTGAAGTGGATGGTAAACAAGTAGAGCTAGCGCTGTGGGATACAGCGGGACAAGAAGATTATGACAGGCTAAGACCTTTGTCCTATCCTGACACGGACGTGATCCTTATGTGTTTCTCCATAGACTCACCAGACTCGTTAGAAAACATCCCAGAGAAATGGACACCGGAGGTAAAACATTTCTGTCCAAATGTGCCGATCATATTGGTCGGCAACAAAAAAGACTTGCGCAATGATCCAAATACAATACGTGAGCTGAGTAAGATGAAACAAGAACCAGTGAGGCCAGAAGAAGGACGAGCCATGGCCGAAAAGATCAACGCATTTGCTTATTTGGAATGTTCAGCCAAAAGCAAAGAAGGAGTACGCGAAGTGTTTGAAACATCGACAAGAGCCGCATTACAAGTAAAGAAAAAGAAGAAAGGCAAGTGCACTTTGTTGTAAGTGATGTCATATTTGAGAATATAAAAATCTACTTAGAAAATAAAATATATCATATTTTTATACAATTTTTCAATTTACCATGTCGTTGTAAGGATTTTCAGCATTTAAAACAAATATACCTGATTGTACAAATCATGGTGCAAGACAAAATATATATATATATATATTTATATGTATATATATCATTTTATTTTTCTATAATAAACATAATTATAATCATGTATTCCTATTGTTTGCCAAAATGTGTACAAAGCAAAACTATTGGGGAAAATTTTTATCGGGTAATCACTAATCATAGTGCATTTTGTAACTTATTTTAACTTTATTTTTTATATTATAATAACTGTTCTGTAAAAATAAAGTTGAAACTACAAAATAATTGAACCATTTTAATAAGACTCATTTTTCGCTACCTTTAACATACAATATTTCTGTATCGTAACATATTTATATATATATATATATATATAAAAAAAAATATATATATATACATTTTTTTTATGGACCTGCTGTGCCAGGAATTCCATAATGTATTCCTTAGCTTAGTTTTTTTTTTTTAAATACTATTATTACGTTTGTTCATTAACCAATATTTATATGCTTGTAATTTTTAAGAAATTTACTAATAAAATTTAGATTTTTAATTAAATTTATTTTCAATGTTTATAATAATTGAATAATAATTAATGGGTCTCATTTAAAACCTATGTTTTATGCGAGTACTTACTTCTGAATATTCTTTTATATCACTAATATGTGACTCAATGATTTGATGACTAAACATGGTATTAACAGTTATTTTGCTATAAATTCCCTTGTTAACAAATATGAGAAAATATATTATTTTAAATATAAGATTTAATGCAGATTATGTTATAATCTACTGGTTCTAAAGAATGCATAATATACCAAGTACTTATTTAAATGACTATTGTTTAGAAATTAATTTGAGAAAACATTAATTACATTTTTTTTTTTATGATTTTAATTCTTGTTTGAAAATGTAATTTAGTGTACCTATAGCTATAAACATAAACTAATTTTCCTGTAAACATATATACTTTTTCTATTATACAAGACTGTTAATGAATCAAAATGAAGGTATAGGTTTTTTTTTTTGTATTATGCCAATATTACTTACTTCAGACTAATAATTGTATTTTTGTTTAATTTCAAAGTTATTTTATTCCCTTAACAGTATAAACGTGAAAAACTTAACTTTATTCAATATTATCAGTTTAAACAGTAAAAGTAAACAATATGCATGGGTTGTTTCTGAAATAAAATGTTTGTAATAAATTTAATAGTTTATGATATGATTTACTGAAACCGTAGAATTCGTATTGCTGTTACCAACATTGGTTATCAGTATCATCAATCAACGTTATGAACAATTTATGCTATTTTATTAGTTTATAACATAAACATGGAGTCATTGGTTATACTTTATAATTTTTACTCTGCATTGTACTAATTTATACTATTTTGAATAGAAAAAAAATAGCATATTGTATTGTCATGTCAACTTGATTTCCATACAAAATATTTTGATAAATGTTTAATCATTTATAAGTATTGGAAATATGTTTAAAACTGTATGCAAAATTAGTTTTTTACATATACAAATTAACTTATGTTATTAAATAAACAATAATGTGATTTAAACTTGTAATTAATTATCTTATTTGCAAAAGCTTAACAACCTTCAACATGTCTAAAAAAAATAGTCTCTATTTAAATCTATGATTGAAAGAGTGAGATTACTATTTAAAATCCAAAGTGGATACTCATTTTAGATATAAAGAGTAGGGGTATAAAAATAAAAAATAAAGCTTAAATGAATCATCTCAAATTGTTAATCAATAAATCACTATATTAACGAATATATTTAAAAATAACAGATTTCAAATCTCCTGAGAAAAATGCTGGTTAATGATAATGAATAATAGTTAAATAATATAATATGTGACATGTAAATACTTATTATAATAATTGTACATGGTTATCATGGCTTCTGGAAACCTGGAATAGTAAAAGAATTTGTATGAAATTTTGAAATTTTAATTTCAAACTTCAATCTCCATTTTCATATTAGCTATTCAAAATTCGAAAAATATTGTATATTATTTTGTTACATATTTAATACATACCACACATTTTTAAAGTAAGTTGAAGCATTGTTATTTCAACATTCATTTATATTAAAAACTATTAAATTTTTTCAAAAAATAAAAGTTAAAAGATATTTTTCTAATTCATATTATTGGTAAACTGAAAAAAAACATTTAAAATTCAAATTGGAATTTCATAACAACTATGTGTTAAGAATTAAAATAATAAATAATATTTTAATATTGTATCTTTTTTTACCGGCATAGTAATACTTACACTAATTAGAAGTGGATACTAATATTTTGAACTTTTATTTTTTTCTGAGTTGTATTCCTAAAATCTAAGGTACTTATGGTTCAGATCCATAGGCAATATTATGATCTGGTGTAAAAAATGTGTTTGAATGTTATGCAAATAGGAATTTAGATTTATACCATTTAAACCCCTTTAAATAATTCAATATGATTTTGATTAGCTATAATATTTAAATTATTCATTTATTTTATATTCTTAAAATAGCGAGGAGGTAGTTGTATAATTATTATTTTATTACAATAATGTTTAATGTATTAGCATCTACCCCGATTGTATTATAATTCATAATATGGGGTGTATGGTGTATATTGATTTTATAATTATTGCATATTTCTAACCTAATGTCCTATTGTAACATAAGTTTTAATTTTGAGAATTATGACTTTTTAAATAAATGTTACACGAGACTGCTAGAGGTTAAACATTTACAGTAGATATTCCAAAACTATTTTAGAATATTTTAAATTGTTTATTTTTAAGTATATAATATTATACCTATTCCAATCGAATAGATAACAATGAATTCAATAGTTTCTCATTAATTATTGTTTATTGGTTTATTTTTAGATTTTTCTATTTTTATTTTTAGTTTATTTTACAGTATATATTATATATTTGTACAGTTTGACTAATGGCAATAATTACACATTATTTATATTTTATTATTGCTCATGACATTTATTTATAAATTACATCAATGGGTTAGGTATAATATTATACTAATAAAGAAATAATAATATATTATATTCAATAATAACTAGTAAATACCTAATATCTATATATTATGATTTATTAGCTACCGATAACAATGTACCAAGTACACAATGTCATAATTTTCGTGATATATAATAAAGGAGTTTTAAAGGGAATATGTATAATTTCCTCCTTAGTTTACTTCTTTTATCATCATTTAAAAATATATATATATATGTAGGTACCTACCAACATTTATAGAAAAATTAAATTTGTGTAAAGTAGATAAAAATAAAAATAAACCTAAGTATATAGTACCAAAGAAGAAAAATAATCTTATCTTAATCGACCTATTGTTATAGATTCTATAAAAGCAATTTGGCGCAAGTGACTATTTTCTCTAAGTACAATTTTTGTCATTTTTGAGTATGTGATTAGTACTCATAGATATAGTGAACTCTGATATTGGTATTATAAATAGAATTTATTTTAACAGTGTTTAAGTTTTTTTTTTAACTTTTAGAAGTTTTTTAAAAAAACACATCTATGGTGACATTAAAAATACGAGACCTTCAAAAACAGATTAAATATAACGTATAATAAGTTAACCTAACTATACATATAATATAAAGGAACAATATAAATATATGCTGTATGAAAATTGTTTAAATACAAATAAAATATAGGTAAAATCAATTCTATTTTGACGATGATAGTTGGTCAATTTGTTTTTCTCCTTTTTTATGTGTACTTTTGTGCCGAAGTAATTACAGACATCATAATAAACATTTCAAAAGTTATACTAACACTAACAGTAAAAAAAAAATTGGATTAATATGTGATATACTTGAAAAAACGAGACAAAATGCGTTCCATATAACTTTCGTCAAGACAACGAAACACGAAATTAAAATACCGGACGTTACCCTACACACATCATAGTAAAATCAATAATTGAATGGCTACACTCAAAATCTAAAATTAGAGTTAGTTATTTCATACGAAAATGGTTTTTGGATATTCTTGAACAATTTATTTTTAAATATAATTATTAGAAAGAAATATAATTAGGTATAAGTATATATTTTTGTATTGAATGATTTAATTTTAATTCAAAACAAATTTAGTTGATATACTTATTTATTTACGTAACTACCGGCTTTTTAATGTTTTTTTTTTTTTAAGAGTGTGTTTGTTTGTAGAGATAAACATAAATGGAAACATAGGTAAGTATGTTATAGTAGTATACATACCTGATCTCTGTTATAATTTTTCATAACGGTCTAAACCAGTAGCTTGTTTACCAAAAGTATGTTTACTAGTATTTATGTAAATATGATAATAATTAGAGACTGGATTCTAAAATCCCCAAAAAACACTAAAAAAAAAAAAATTATTTATCTCCTGAGGATAGGTAAGTATCTACACAAAAAAAATCTGAACCTTATATTTTGTTTACCTAATTAACTATGAATATTTAGCTCAATAGCTGACTTAACAATTAAAACTATTGTATTTGTCGGACTCTGAAAAATTTAGGAGAAAAGCTCTCTTCAATCATAAATATACAATATTTAATCAATGGTTCAGAATACGGTAATCCTGGAAATAAATCCCCAAAACAATTTTACTGTGAATAATAATATTTAAAAAAGTGTACGGACATACTTCAATTTTACTTAGTTGTATAAATTATCGTCTAATCATTGTCATCCGTATTATTTCGTAAAACATTACCTATAAAACAACAAAAAATGTTCGTACCAAAAATACTTAGAAACTGGTTTTGGGGGGGATAATAATACAATAGCTTTAAACCTTCTCCTAACAGCGTAAACTATCGGTCCAGTAGTATTTTAGTAAACGAAACAATAAACATTCCAGATAAATAATTTGTTGAATACCTATAACTGTACTATCTACTCTCTCAAGGGAAGCCCTCTATATTAGTTGCCTAATATCCCTATGCCACGGGCTATCTATATATTCTAAAATCAATTATTTAGAACAGTGGTGTTTAAACTGGGTGTCCGTGATATTCATGTTGGTCGTCTGCGGCGGCTATATCGGTAAATATTGATTATGATAACATGAGATTTTTGTAAAAAAAGGGTATTGGTAAAAGGTCCGCAATCTCTAAAAGTTTCATCAAGGGTCCGTGTACAGTGTGCATTAAGAGTTTAAGAACATTTTTTTATTTATTTTTCCATGATTGACCTGAAATATAGTCTATCTTTCTACATGTTGATATCTGGTTTTATACAGTGAGGGATACACAACGCGCAGTTCATCTCTTTATACGTCTAAATGTTATATGCAAGGTGGATTTACCTTGGTTATATGTTCATGATATAAGCATACCACACATCGCTAATTCGCTTGAGAGTTGAGACTCAGAGTAAATAGTGAGCCCTGATTGGTTGTATTTCAATTGGTAACATGCCAACAGTTTAATAATGATGATAATAAAGTAAATACCTCCTCTAGGAGAAAACCAGAAAATAAGATAATATTTTAACTGTGTTATCATCATCATAAAACTATTATTAATTGAAATATAACCAATTAAGGCTCACTATTTTCTATAAGTCTCTAGCATAGACATGTTAAGAAACATGTCTATGGTCTTTAGAAATTGTGATAGTGTATATGTATTGTTTTATACATGTTTAAGTATAATCATGGGCGTCAAGAAGGAAGTTATACGGGGCATCTACCCGCAAAATTTCATATATAATTTAATTTCGTTTTACCCCACACTAATAAATTTCCTGCGAACTTCCATGAGTATAATATAAAAGATATATAATGCTTATATGTTTCTGGGAACATCACCTACCTAACACACAATTTTTGTAGAAATGGCCTATTCGTTTCTATTATATACCTATGCCGTAATTAAACAGTAAACCAATCTTGTATCTTAAGGCACACACTATAAGATTTGATCGAGCGGACAGGATAATTTGGTCAAGTCAGATATAATATCAGGGCGTGTATAGACCTTATCGTGTCTGTCGTCTGACTAAAAGTCTAAAACTGTCGGATTGTGATTGTCAGGTGGCCGTGCCGTCTGACCACCTAATCAACTGACTACCTAAATCGGATCGTGTGTGGACGAATTTTGCTTATCAGTCAGTCAGTGGACATTGATACCATAATGCGTTTGTACTTAATGTTTTATCCACATTTTGTCTTGAAGATTTTGTAAAATTATTTAAAATTTAACTGACTTCGTTGTGCGGAGGTGTGTCTGCAGTCTGCACACAACACCTGATTTGGTCAGACCACCTGTTGGCTCAACCAGATCAATGTGTAGGCCTTTAGTCCCTGATCATAATATAACACAGATATCTATATTCTATGCTAGGTGTACTAAATATATCTATCTATACCATAGAGTAGTGTTGTGTGCATATTATGTGTAATATACCAGTAAAAGATCTAACTATCAAAGATCGATTATTTATGTATTTGATAACTGTTATCAAATTAACGATAGTTAATTATCATGAACACAGTAGAATGGGAGTCCTCAAGTCCTGATGAGAGTGTTCGTGGTTATTAATATATTATGAACACGGTTATAAGCACGGATTAATGATATGAATGATCGCTAAAATGTTTCAAAAATTTTATCACGCTTAGAAATAGCCAATATTAGTTAAATAAATTACTACAAAAAAACAAAATTTAAAATAATGAAATCGTTATTGCCTTAAACTTTTCTGTTTTTTTTTTTCTATTTTTTCTAATTATTATGAAAACTGCTTGGAAAATAAAAAAATTATCTCCTAAAATTAACTAAATCCATAGAACTATAAAAAGCTTAACTTATTTAGCGTTTTTTGATTAGAGTAAGATTTCCGGTAGAAAATTAACTTCAGTGAACAACTGTTCATAGACACAAATTAAATTTACACATACCTACCACATTCATCAAAGTAAAACCATTTTAATATTTTTGTATTCAAAATTAATTTTAATTTACTTTTGTAATACTACCTAAGTGTATTCAACTGCATGTATAGTACATTTTAAATAAATGAACCCCCGAAATTATTTTCAGTTTACCCCTCCTTTAAATTAGCTTCAGATCTGTTATTAGTTTAGTCATAAAGCTATTTGTATTATTACTGTAATGACTAACGACCATGAGTCATAACATATTGTCATCCATAAAGGTAAAAACGCACAAAATGTATGAACTTCCCAGCTCTATAAATATGATTATAAAAAACTGTTTTTTTTTATTCTTGTAATTATTATTATTAGGTAATACTAGGTGATAATATTGTTAATTTATGAAACTTTTTATTAATTTTTTTATACAATATTATTAATAAAAAACTATCAAAAACGAATATCTAATAGTTAGTAATATTATATACTATAAGTAATTTTAATTTGCCAAGTACGAGTAAGTACCTAATAGCTAGCTGTCTTATTAAAACCGTTTTAAGGAGTGAATATTTTATATTTTTTAAATATATCTAATTTTAGTCGAAGTTTTAATGTCCCATGGCCAATGTTTAGCCATGTAATAATAGGTTTGTATGAATAATGTCGACAACAACCTGAAATCTGTCAGAATGTAATTAATTTTGTTAAATTCCTACTCATTTTAGTTTCGCGTAAAACACATCGATCATTTTTAAAATGTTTATATTAAAAACTGTACGGTCAAATATTATGATAAATCTATTATACTACAGTACCATACGATATCTTACCAGACTTAATAATAAATTATAATCTTGTAGTTACTAGGACCTTTCGTTGTATAGAATGTTTAGCGCCATAACGACATACAAATAATAGAACAATAATACTGTAGTATTTATATTTATTACAGGTAAATCAGGCATCAACTATCGCCACACCAGTGTCAATTTCTGAACGCTTTTATTTACATTTTTCTATAATAACATGATATGTTGATACAAATATATACGAATAAATACAAGATTAGATTGCTGGGCAGTGAGTCAGACGTGAATCCAGTGGGGGTGTGCCCCCCTCTCTTGGTCGTATTATAGGCTGTTAGAAATATTACTAAGCACTAAACTGTGGTCATTATATGTTTTGTTTCCTTTTTTAAAATTAATATTATTTTATAGTTTTATATCACTTTACATAGGTACCTGTATTAATATTAAATTGTGATCTAAGTCATCATCGTCGTCATACATTCATGTAGGTATTTATCGTTTATGGTTTTTCAGGAAATCTTTATTTAATATATAAGAGCTAAGTGAGCTAATTTTTTTCCAAGGGTAGGTTGTATGGACGCTGTCAGGAAATTCATTAGGGAGAGGCATAATAAAATCAAACACCAAAAAGTACTTAAAATCAAATAAAATAAATAAATTATTAGAATCATTTAAAAAATGGCATAATATTAATTGTGAAAAAATGGTGTAGTGTCTACACAATTTCAAAAAGAAAAAGACGGATATACTTCGTACGTTGGTGGGTTACTGTTGTAGGTGAGAACTTGAGAAGGTAGAAGGAAAATTTAATATATATCTGAACGCAATGATTAACCATGACTAACGAAAAACGATTCTGAGCGGAGTTTTATTAATAGTGTTACCTTGTCAATAATATATTTAATATGTCATATATTTTTTTTTTTTCATCCTATATTAGGTTGGTTTACAACGTTTTTAACTTCGCTCTCCACTTATCACGATCTTCAGCAAGTCTTTTTAATCCGGCGTATGTATCAAACCCTACGTCATTTTTCAGTTGAGATATGTACGAGTTTCTTGGTCTTCCTGGTGGTTTCCGTCCTTCAATTGCACCTTCTATTATAGTATGATGCAATTCTTCGTCATGACGTAAAACGTGTCCCATCATGTCCCATCGTCGTCGCTTTATGGCTTTAATTAAGGGCCTTGTTTCTCCAACTTGGGTCAATACATCTTCATTTGTTATTCTTTCTGTCCAGTTTATTTTTCCCATTCGTCTCCAACACCACATTTCAAATGCTTCCAGGGATCTTTTTTCCTTTTCATTAATAACCCATGTCTCGCAGCCGTATAAAGCGACACTCCATACAAACGTTTTTAAAAAAGTCTTTTTTATTGTTCTGCTAATTTTTTTCGAAAATGTCATATTATGGTAAAATAATTACATATGCATCATATATTTTCTTTAATAATATTTGTTTAATATTGTATCTATTTTCCCATTTTTTCCATTTATTGAGTTTCTTTCAGGAAAGTACTTTCATGGTAAATTGGAGCAAAATTTCTGGTAAAAAAGTTGCCCATAAAAAAAAAAAAAAAGTAAACATCTCTGTAAAACTAATACATTTCTCGCTCAACTCGGAATCTAAAATGTAATATATTTGTATCAACAACTTTTGGTAGAATATTTTCTAGTAATGTCTGAAACTTATGCAATAGAGAGAATATTTTATAATTTTCTTTTACACAACCAAAATAATTACTACACAATTAATTCACAAAATAAATAATATATGACAAAGATTCTAATAGAGCATGCAATGATGGCAATGATCATTCGCCATCAATCCAGTAAAAATAAGAATATTTTTAAAATTTTTTCAAACTCACAATAAAATGGAATACATACTAACAAATGTTTTATTAAAATAATAAACCTAGTACTTAGAAATGATCTTAATTGTTACAGTAAAATAGAGAAATTGAAAGTCTTTTTTTTTCAGAGAGTATTAAACCTTAAATTGTTTGTCCAGTTTTTATTTTTAAATATGGTCCCCCTAATTATCTATGTAATATTAAAATAAGATCAAATAAAAAAAAAATATATTATTAATTTTAAAACACATCATACTATTATTATTATATGACCCCGATGGTTGGGTAATTACGTCACTTGCACAATAACAACTTTTTGAAAAAGTAAATTAATTTTCAGAATATTACAAAATATATTGTGTCGACCTATTGCAGCATGAATACAATTCGTGATGACTACAATAAAAATTAAAAAAAAAAAAATTAGTAAGTAAACTTAACACCGTATTATTAGATACTGGAACAATATTTCATACCTAATTAATTTTAAATATTTAATTAGAAGATGATATGTAGCGATCATCGGTAACCAATAATTTTGTCTAAGAAGTAAGATATAGTTCACGATTATATTATATTATGACACGTCCGAAAAAGATACGCATGTTATTATTGTTCTTTATCTATTATTTTTTTAATATAATTTACGAAATTAAATTCCAACTGCAGTATGTATATAGTATTTGTGCATATAGGTATCGCGCCTATTATATAAGTACTTAATAATAATTAATTTTATAATATTGACTAAATATTGACCTCATTATAATATTTAACATCACCGTCCGTTTTTTACCAGTTTACCTATTACAGGATTACATAGGTAGAGGTCGGTAGGTACCTACCTATCTACCTAGCCTATTACATTTAAAATATTATTATAATATCAAAGAGCTTCACATCACCGGCGGTGACCTTTTTATTAAGATTGACCTTCGAATAGTTCTAATGAATGTTTTTTTTTCTATAAAAGCGGTGTTCAGACGAAATGCCGTACCTTCGTTTGGTTTTTAAAATATTCAGCTATACTTATTTATACATGTTTCATAGGTACCTACCTACCTATACATATTAAACTTAACGTGACCGAATATTTTTCGGAGACCTTCGTCGTGGCTCATGCATGATTCATAGCACAGCGCGCTATTGAGTTACCTAGGTAGTAGGTGCTTATTATTATTGACAGTGTATTTGTCTTTCCGTCCCAAACGCTATCTAGATGCATATTTACACGTATTTTGATAATATAGTTAATTATTATTACCTATTAATGCACGCCTAATAATATTATACCGCTTATTTCACATAGTTTACCGTTGTTATGAAATTTCACGTTACCTCAAAATCATAGCTACAAAAACCATAGATATTTCATAGATAATATTATGACTAGTCCACGGACTAGGTATATCTTAGTCCGTTGTCTAGTCTCACATAAATCATAAGTAATAATTTGACTATTAACTCGGGTGACTAATCGCTCTTGCGCACTACCAATAGATTCTCAATCGCCAGTGCTTCATTTTTCAAGTTGCTTATACGCTTTTAATCTTTAGTTCTATGGTAGTATGGTCTATGCATTATTCACATATGGTATTAATATTCAGATTTTTTGAATCCAATTAAGAATGTCGGAAACCATACAAAAACATTCACTAATCTCTTTCCTATGATTATTGATTATAATACCTATTATTTACTAACGCATTTTCGAAAGAGGTTGGTTACACTGTAATAAGCGTGTCGGCGTCTGTAGGCGTGGGTTCCCGACCCCCGTTAAGATTTTCGTGTATACAATATACAAGGCCCGGCGGCTGATTTTCGTTGAATGTTATTATTTGTTGACCGATCATTATGTTATTTTGTTATAAAACAATATTCTAATTATCAACCGCTATCGTTTGCTATTAATAAAGTGTCTTATATATTATTTTTGACGTATTTATATATATTTTTTTTTGTCGCGTTTTATGCGAATATTGTTGTTACGGAGGTGATCCATTACCAGCGTTGCAATGTCGCAGAGGGTATCAAGAAAAGGCAGCGCGGCCAGGAATACGCCGCAGCCTGATGAATCAACAAGCACGACAAACAGCGAGAAGAGCAGACGCCTGGGAACATTAAGCCCGACTCGGTTCAGTCGAATACAGGAAAAACACGAGTTACAAAATTTGAACAACCGTTTGGCCGCTTATATTGACCGCGTCAAATACTTGGAAACCGAAAATTCAAAACTGACCAAGGAACTTCATTCGTCTCAGGAGGTGACAACCCGGGAGGTAACTAACGTTAAAGTACTGTTTGAGTCGGAGATTGAGGATTTAAGAAATGCACTAGACCGTGAGGCTAAAGAAAAAAGTCGTTTAGAGTTGGAAAATAGGCGAAAAATTTTGGAATTTGAAGAGCTCAAAACCAAGTTAGTACATTTTTATTTTATATACCTATTATGTTCTGTGCCTTATTATAATAATCATTTTATCAAATTCATTAAGTTATAATTTTTCTTTCAAACCAATAAAATCATTGAGTAGGTTAAATTATATTGACATTAAAAATTTAAAAAGTTTACTGTTCTATAATTTCATTTTATATTGAATTTTTTTAGTGAAACCCTAATTAATTTGTAATTTAATCAATAAGAAATCACTTACCAGCAAAATAATAATAGTAATAAGATCTTGTAAGTGGTCAATTACATATTTTATAAAGTTTGTTACTTAATTAATACTCTATTAGTGCCTTCCTATATTTATATTGGGTTATACTAGTCATACAATTGTATCTAACTTTGTACACACAAAATTATTAAATTTTAATGTAAGTTTTTTAAAATTATTTTTCAGATTTGATAGAGCAACTAAAGAGTTGAAAGAAGCTACTCCATATATTGCCCGATTTAATGAATTGAATTCTAAATTTGGTCAAACATTAATCGATAACAAAAACTTAAAAGACAGTAATAAAGTAAGCCCTTTTTTTATTTGATAACTTATATTTGTTATGTGATTATAAGTGTATAATTTAGAGAAATAATAAAAATAGTTTGTAAATGTTACTTACTAATTCTCTGGAATGATTTGTGTAATGTAAAATGTCTATTAGAAATCTATAAATCTCAAGACATTGTTTTGAATACCAATTTTAATATTTAAAATCGTTTGTACTTTTCTCTTTATTCTGTTGTCTTAACTACTAATCATACTTTGTTGTCACAGCATTAGAGATTTATAATAAGTAAAATAAAATTACCATTTTTTTTTTTAAAATTGCATAATATTACAAATTATCTCAGTCAGTGAAATAAATATTGCATTAGTTTCAATAAAAATGCCTATAAATATCCACAGTTGTGGTAATACCCTTCCAACGTTATTATTTTTTCTTGAAAACACACTCATCGATTTCAAAAATTTTCCTGGGTCTCTGATTTGTTTTTATAATAATTACCATACATACTGCGTGCATGTAATTATTTCAACTTAAAATTGCCATGAATCATATTTAAATGCTTTTAACAAAGATATCTTTGACTGAACTTACAGTAGTTGAGATAACAAATAGGTAAGTGATTGGAAGGTAGTTTAAATAACGAAAAAGAACCAAATTTGATTTGTGTTTAACTGCCTGAATTAATTGTGTTTCATCAATTTTGTATATTAATTATATTGCAAAACTATAACTTGATTTTTTTATCTTTTTATTTGTTTACAGAAATTAACTAAAGAATTGGCAACAGAAAAAAAAACTGTTAAGGATGTTCAAAAAACATTAGAAGAAGAAATCTTACAAAGAGTAGCAGCTGAAAACAAATTACAAAGTTTGAGGGAAAATTTTAAATTCAAAGAAGAGGTAAAGGGTGTAACACATTTATGTAATTTACTTTTATAATAAATCATAATTTTTCATAGGTCCATAAACAACAACTGAATGATACAAGAACTAGTTGTCGTACTGAGACTGTTACAGAAGTAGATGGACGTTTAATAAAAGAGTATGAAGATAAATTACAACTTGAACTTCAAACACTGCGACAACAAGCTGAAGAAGATGTCAAACGGAATAAAAAAGAAATTTCTGAGTTATTTGATAGCAAGGTATATTCAGTAATTTAATGAAAACAAGTACCATAAGTAATTAAATTTTTACTTTCAGTTTCAAAATTTGGAGAATGAATTGCAACGTAAAAAAAAAGCTATGGAGTTAGCACAAGAAGACATAAATGCTGCAAATTCACGTATTACTGAACTAACACAACAAATAAATGATTTATTGGCTTCTAATAATGATCTTTTGGTGTGTTTTCATTTTATTTGTTCATATTCTTAAACATTATTAATTGTTATTTTTTATTATTTTTTTTTAGAGAAAAATGACCGATTTAGAACGATTAAAAGAAAGTCAAAGAACCAAATATATTTCTGAAATCCAAGGACTTGATCAGCAATTAACTGCTATGCAAGATGATATGTCCCAGAAAGTACAAGAATATCAAGATTTAATGGATATCAAAGTTGCATTAGATATGGAAATTAGTGCTTATCGTAAACTGTTAGAAAGCGAAGAGAAAAGATTAAGTATTACGCCGAATACATCAGTAGTAGGTAGTCCTAGAGGTAAAAAAAGAAAATTGTTTCAACGCGATACAACAGAGTATGAATTTTCCAATATCATTACTGCCTCTTCAACTAGTGATATTGAAATTAGTGAAGTGTGTCCAGAAGGGCAGTTTGTAAAATTGTACAACAAAGGATCTAAAGTAAATATCAGACTTCAATTATCTTACTTTTACTGAAGAAATATAAATATAATCATTTTTAGGAAGTTTCATTGAGTGGATATGAATTAGTGCGTACAACTGCTGGGGATAATGTTTCTACTGTATATAAATTCCATCGTACATTAAAATTAGGAGCTGGCAATTGGTTAACTATATGGTCATCTACTGCCACTAATCAAGTACATGAACCTAATGCTGGTTCAATCATCATGAATACTCAAGTTTGGGTCATTGGAGATCTAATGGCTACAATTCTTTTAAATCCTGATGGACAGGTTAGGTTCATTATTAGTTTATTTATTTATCTTTTGAAAGTAGAAATTGCAACAAAAAACATTTTTAATTTCATTGGTATTGATCTTTGCAAGTAATCAAAAAAAAAATACTAGTCACTAGCATTACTTAACGTGTAAATTTATATTTAATTTACAATGTTTTCATATTGAATACAAAACATAAACAATGTAATGAATTACTAAAAACTTGTTTACTAATTCAATGTTTTTAATTGTCTTTTTTTTCAATTTGTTTGTCATTTTTTGTTCAAATTTATTGTACAATTAAACTGTACTATTACCTTGAACACAAATAAGTACATATATATATATATATATATTTTTTTTTTAGGAAGTAGCTACTCATGAACTTAAAAAAGGACAGGTTTCTCATTCACGGACTAATGATGGCTATTCTGAATATGAAAGAGAATTATTTCACCAACCAGTAAGTAGTGAACAATATTAAGCTATTCATGTTTAAATTAATTTTAATTTTTTGTCTCTAATGTAATAACTTCTATTGTGAAAATGTAAACTTGTGAAACAAGAGTATTAACAAATTATAACTATGAGCTGAATAATGGTAAAAAAGATGAATTTTTAAAATAACCCAATAATACTATTATTTAAATTTTGATTTAAAAAAATGGTGTATTTAATATTTTGATATTTCATATTATATATATTTTTAATTTTTTTTTTTAGGGTGATCCACAAACTGGAGACAAATGTGTTGTTATGTAAAATATTCCCTGGAATATTTTATTACAAAGCTCCACTTCATAAAAAAAACAATTAAACTAAAAATTATTGATTTTTATTTGTCATTCATTTTTTTTTTTTTTTGCATTATTTTTTCTACTAATTTTTATTATTTTATTGCAATTTTTTTTGTATTAATCATATTATAGTGTTCATAAAATCAATACAACTAAAAAAAACTTAACTTAAAAAAATACATATATTTTACCATTTTTTATATATGTTTATATATATGAAAAAAAAATATGACCAGAGAGACATAGGTACATTTAGATTTTTATTGTACTTAATAATATAATATGGTTATAATATTACTGTCAAATGTTTGTCATACCTATGTTGAACTATGTAATTTTGTAAACCGATCAAATGATCTTATTAATTTACTTTTCTTTTTTTTTAATTTGACTTACCATAAAAACATGTAAAAATCGTTTTTTCATTTGATTATCACTGAAAATTTAATATATTATATTTAAATATACAATAACTAGTATTATTTAAAATGTTTAATTTTTTACCTGTTTTATAAAACAAAACATGCCATATACTATTAGGAAGCATATTTTTGCAATCATAAATTAATATTCTATAGGTTTCTATAATAGTACTTGCACTTCCATATTAAATAACATGTTATTTTTTATCTTATGTGTAAAAATCCCAAAAAATATATAAAATTTGTTTAATATTTATTCATCATAGTTAAAAATAGTTATTATTATTAATTGCAAAAATATGTCATCCTTATGCCTTAAATTATATTATAAAACTAAAGTTTTATTTTTACCATGACTGACATTTTTTTCTGTATATTCAATTGAAAACTAAAGTTTGATTTAGATATTGTCTTCCAAATGTATTAAGTATATTATTAAAGTCATATTATAATTTTTATTTTACATATATTTTATGTATACAAATGCTTAATTCTATTCAGTTAAATGATTTTTTTTGGTGTTAATCAAATTTTAAGGCTGTTAAGTTTTATGTTATTTTATGTATACTTAAATAAAATATTTGTATGGTCATACTAATTATGTTTAATGAATGTCATAATTATTCAGATTTTAGTTTGTACAATAGTTGTGTTCAGCTTTTTAATTTATTTATTTCATTTTTTTTTTCTTTTAAATAGGTGGATACTAAAAGTTATAGACCTATTATTATTAACATTATTTTTAAGATCACTTCAAATCAAATTATATATTTTCATTTTTTATTTTATGTTAAAAATTGTCAAATTTTTTAATTTAAAATTTAAGGGCCATTATATTTATATAATTATTTGTAGTTAATTATATTTATGTTAAATTACTAACAACATAACTAAATTTTACACATTTCTAATCACAATGTACGGAGTAAAATATTGTAATTCATTGAATATGCACTTAAATATAAGTTTATTTATTTAAATGTAAAAGTATTTTTTTTAAAATTAAAGGTATTATTTTAATTTATAAAATATTGAAAATTGTTTATTTATTAATATTGATAACATATTTTGACAGAGTACAATGAACTTAATTTAACTTTTTAAAGCGCCAATTTCACTTAATTTGATAACATATTTTAAGACATAGTTATATTTTTACATTTCTATATTTATAGCAAGTTGTTTAGACTACATACTTGTTGATTAATATTTAATAAATATTATTTCTTTAAATAAATTATATTTTATACATCTAAAACTGTGTGATTCATAATATTATTTGAAACATTGTTTGATTTGCTAGAAAAGATTTTTTTTTTTTTTAAAGTGAGCTGTTGTCAAATAAAATAAAATAATACATATTAATTTGCCTCAAATTACTATCTATAAATGTGGCTACCAAGGTTCAAGATAACTAAAAAAGACTGTTTTTGTGTATCAAAGTATTTGAATTTCAGAAGACATTGTTTTTTATATTCATTGATGCTCAACCTAAATTATATTAAACAGTGTATAGGCCGTTCTTTATCTGATTCTTAAACTAAGTTTATGGCTGACAACCGACCACGATTAGTCGATTATCTAATGAACTGTTTAAAAATCATCATTCACATTGGTGAGAATGGGCCTAAGTCAGTTGTAATTCAGTTCTTTCTTGCTGTAATATTTATGTGACCTATAGTTTTTACTGCCGTGTTTATGATTGTATCTTTCAAGTTTTGTCAACTTTCTTTAATATTTTAGGATTCCTTAATAGTTGCGTCATTTGCGCCTTCGCTATATTTTTAACTGTTTCCATTTTTCATGTGTATCTTCTTCGATGGTGATTGTGACTGTTAAGTTATATTTTGCACAAAATTATAATAAACGACCCTCTCTATCGTTTCGCCTTCCCAAACTGTAGCTATGCTGTTAAGTTCTTTACTTCTTCCCCCACAATGGCATCCAGTCACCCATTATTACCAGATTCTCCTCTCTTTTAACATTTTCAATTAATTTGTCTATATTTTCATAAACTTCTAGCTCTCCATTGCTACTATTTGTTGTCAGCATATATACCTGAACTACTACTGTATATTTTGTTTTGTTTTAGAAATTGACTAAAATGATTCTATTGTCATATTGTATATAATCTTTTTTTTGTATATAGGTAACAATTTTAACATGAAGGATTCTATTTTATTAAATATGTATTGTATTTATTGTACATTTTTTCTAGGTACTGGTAATTGATGAGTATTATTTTAAAATCAGCTAATTACATTAAAAGAGTAATAAATGCTTATAAAAAATTCGTTTGATGTACTAATATTTAAATTATATATTCCTCAAAAGGATTCCATAGGAAATACAATTTGGAAACTATAAGGAGTCCTAGGACTTCCAACCATTGATTTTCAGGGAGTTCAACTATGAAGTAGGATTTTTGAAGTGTATATTCTTAGGAGAGGAAACTCGGAGACAATCGGGAATATTCATTGTCGTAGCACATTACATTATTCAAATTGTTAAATATGTTTTAAATAAATTATAATATTATTCTAATAATTGTTATAGTAAACAAACGAATTAGATGACAATAAACCGAAAAAAAAAAAGATTTAAATAAAATATTTTAACGGTTATTTGTTTGGGTTCATTATATTACTTTTCTTTATTTAAAATATATAATTTGCAATTTAATATTAATGTAGTTTATATTATTGATTGTTTTTTAAAACCATCGAAAGGCCGCCATACACGTATGTGTTTACATGTTTATAGTACTCTTTGGTAAATGCTCCCCTCTACTACGTTGTCTCAGCATGGACGTTCGGCCGGCGGGCAAGGCGGCGGTAGCGGTTGCGTTGTAGTTCAGCCATTTTGAAGTCATAATTTCTTCTATAATATTTTGCTGTTGAATTATTTCGTCTGCGATATTCACCAGGATTATCGTTTCTCATCATTTTAGACGTCAACCCGTTTAGATTTCTAATATATCAGGTAAGTTTTTTCTTTGTTTAACTCTACAAGATTCGTTGTTAAATTTTATGTATTCACGGCAATCATTTTGTTACTGCCGACCTGGTGTTTCGTTATCCCCCCCGTATACACCGGTCCGACGTTTGTTTACTATCGGCAATTTTTAAAAAATAAATTGGAAAACAGTTGTGGGAAAGTTTAATCGTTCAGTCACTTTAGCATAATCTTAATTTACATTTGCGATCTGAAAAGGTAACGAATTCATACAAACATTTATTTATTTTGTAATGTGTTTTACAGTGTACACTACCCTTCCACTAATTACCTTTTCTTTAACAGGCGTACGATCATGGTTTGTAACGACGACGTACCCCTTTCTATTAAACTGCAATATAGTCCTAACCATTAATTTTGTGTTATTAGTTTCGTGTGTTGCCATGGTATTGAATGGAACAACACTGAATAGCCAACTGCTGCTCTAAACTTTTCACATGAATATTATATAAGTTTATGTCGACCAATAGGTAGGTAGGTTAGAATTACTGAAGTTGTTCGATGTATAAGTATAAGGTTTGGTCGCAGTCCATAAACGCCTTCAAAAAAAATTATTAATTTATAAATGAATACATTATAACTTGAAAGTAAGCGAAACATGTCATTAATAGTGTAAATTGTACTTTGTCTTCAGAATAATTTTTGAGGTTAGTAGGTTGATTTATTGTTATTTAAGCTTTTTATATTGTTTTTCTGTAAAATATTAATAACAGTTAACAATTTTGCCAGTTTGTGGCAAAAATAATTGGTGCTTATAGCACTAAAAGGACAGTTTAAGAATGGTCCTATCATTAATAATACATAAATTACTTCTAGATAAAGTGTCATTTTTAAGATTATAATTTTTTATGAATGTAGGTATTTGGTACCTAGGTATCTGTTTGAGAAATATTTAGTATGGATCTTAGATTCTATGCGTAGTGTGAGTTCTATTTATATTTATTGGAATATTACATTGAAAACTTTTTATTGGAAAGTATGCACCAAATTTTTGGCTTTGTTGAGATGTATAATATACATTTCGTACACAAAATTAAATGAAGATATGTAACCCAATATTTGTTAAACAACGTTTCATTAAGTAAACCAGATTTTTAATATATAATATGATTTTTATGTATAAGGTACCTATGAGATAAAATTGGATGAAATATAATAAAAAATTCTTATAAACATAATCTACTGTTTTACTGTTGTAGATTTTGAGCAGAGTGAGAATGTATTGGTTTTACAATGATGTTTATTTTTTTTTCTGTCAACTTTTCTACTAGTAATTTTGTACTTCTTCTGAAAGGAAATTTGACTGGGTTGGTATTTTATGGATTTTTTGATGTTCCGAGCTGTTTATATAATTAATGAGAAAATAGGTACAATAATAAACATATATTATTAAAGAAAAAAAAATGCATATGTATTAATTTTATCATAATCGTTTTTTATTAGCAATGGTTAATTGTTGCATACAGATATGCATTAAATTTCCCCTCTATCTTTTCAATTTCTCACCTACAACAGTGATCCACCCATACGTGAAGTATATTTTTTTTTTAAATTTTAATTTGAAATAGATCCAATAACTGCAAATAATTATATTTGTTTTGGCGTTGTATTATTAAAAAACCAATTATTTAATAATATAATATTAGAGACTTACTGATATTAATACCAGTTTTATGGATATTTTGTATTGCAATAAAAAATTGGTGCTTGGCGGGTTAACAATTCATTTTTATTTCTCAATGTAACGGTTAGTATTTACAATATTGTGAACAAATCATGATACATAATTATTAAAAATTGTTAAAAAAAAAAATTGTTATTAAGATTTTGCTATAGATTTCGAGGTTCTAATAATATTTTATTGAGTTACTCGAATGTACTTTTAATAATATTAGTAAATTACTCTGGTTAGTGAAAATGGAATTTTTAGTCTAGATATCTATATAATATTTATATTATTTAGTCTTATAGTAACATTTTGTAATAATTAAGCTATTATATGCTTTAAAAAGTTTGTATTAAACACTATCCTACTAACAAGAGGTTTTACTGATTAAATGCATTTGAAATAGTTTGTAGTTTACTGACTGAGATGTGATACTTAGAAATAATGCATTTTTGTAGTCATTTAATTTATAGCTTGATATAAAGATATAAAGATGTATAATTTTTCTAATATTTCAGTTGACACAATTTATTAATTTACGACAGCATTAATTTGACTATAAAATCTGTGTAATTATTTAATTTTTTTTTTATACGTTTTTAGAAATTTTCGACTAATATTAGTTGGTTGTATACTGCAATATTATTTAACCTGTAGATCACAAACTAACCTGGTACTCAATAATTTGTTTTGGACAACTGTTTAACCTAACTTAAAAATAGAAACTAAATTGTTTGCTCGGTATATTTTAAATAATCCTATCTATACTTATCAATCTGTAAATTAATTAACAACCCTCCTCCATTTGTTGGTACATACGAGACATCTCCTTTGTCCTTTATTATTTGTTGGATATATTCAAGATGTGCTATTTTCTTAGGTTTTTCCCTTCCAAACTCTCTTAAATTTTAAATTTAAACTTTTGTCATAGTATATGATCTATCTGATTAACTTTTGTCATAACTTTTCTATAATAACCATTTTTCAGACATTTCTCAGAGGGTAAATCACTAACAGAAATCAATTTACAAATGTTTGATAACTTGCAGAAAATCTCAGGTAATCTTATAAGAAATTTTTGTAATTGTTGGGAAAATTGTGGTGTTCTGGAACTGGTGTATAATTATTGATTAGTGATTTACCCTGTTATTTCCAGTACTACACTATCAATAAGACTTAAGATTTGTATCTTTCTATAGCAACTTATTTTGAACAAATGCAGTTTAGTTTTCAAGTGATTTTTAAGAATTTTTGTTTTTCAAAATTTGTGTTTTTACATGCTTAATATGATAGTAAAATGATAATGAAAAGAGAAAAAAAATAACTCGATAGACACAAAAATATTTAAATTAATAATTTTTAACTAGTAAATTGAACTATACTTTTAGTAATACCTATTTGTGGTATTCCTATTCCTCAAAAAATTAGTATCTTATAATATTATTATTAAATACCTATTTAGTACCTATATTTTGTTGTTGATATTTAATATCTATGCACTTATTTAATTACTAATAA